ATAGCAAATGAACTTAAACGTCATCTGTCAAAGCGCTATATCGCCGCTATCAATTTGAATATTTTCGTTTTAAAAAGCATTTAAAATGGTGTTTTCTCAAGAACAAAAAGTGTTTATCATAGAGTCCTACTTTAGAAATGGACGCAAGATTGATGGAATATGGAAGTATTCTATTGAGGAATGTTTCATAGAATTTCAAAATCAATTTCCCGGCGTTGTTGAGTACAAAATTTTTCAAAGTGCAGTTCAGCGTTGTGTTAATGTTTTTCGTGAAACGGGCAGTGTAACAAGAAAAGAAGGAAGCGGCCGACCTAAAAAGCGAACTGAAGAATTAAAAGAAAATGTCCAACAAATAATGGTAAATGCGCCAAGAATACATACATTTACAATTCTTACACATAAAACACGAGACCAGTCGCAATTTGCTAACAAAAAGCACCGTGAATGAATCAAGAAAACTTCCCAGAAACCGAAATCAATTAAGCGAAACCCTTTGGAACCCCGCCCACCCTCGCCAGACCACACCGCGTGAATCAGAGAAGCCGCCCCTGTACCGAGTTATCAGTTTATCTGGTTAGGTCGGTACTTCCTCCGGTACCCTCGGCCAAACAAAAGTCACTCTTCATGCCGAGACAGTGCGCATTATATCAGCTCGTACCAACGTCGTGGACACGCAATAAACAGGCGGTGGTGCTCCCACAGACTCGGACAATAGTTTTAGTGTGTTTGTCAGAGAGTTTTTGTCGCCGTCGTCGTCGCGAGGACGTCCTGAGGGTACGGTCGCGGCGATAATAAGTGTTCTGTTCGGGATCGTAAGTGGACAATGTGATTTTGGAGTGGCCTGTGCGACTAGACGATTGGAAACGCGATATTTTGAAGTGCCGTCGCGGACGCTTCTCCACTTTTTTGTATCGAAAGTAAGTGCGATCGTGTCTTTGTAGTGTCAATTGAAGACACTTTCCGCGGCGTTTTAAAACTGAACTCGAGAAATATTTTGTAAATAACGCTTTAAATTACAAATTACAAATTTCAAGGTAAGAAAAATTTGGGAATTTCATGAAAATGGTATATTTTGCAACGAAACACAGAAATACCACTTTTTTGTGACTGAACAAATTGTCAAAACTAATGCAAGTTCAGGAAGTATTTCACCTCGAGTTGGAGATATTGTTTATGTTCATAAAATTTATATACAGGGTGTCCCCGGATGGGGCACCGCTCTCTTGTAAACTTTTTATCGTTGATTTTTCGAAAAAAAGTTATTTTTGATAAAAATTTTTGCTTATCTTGGGAAGCTTTGGGCAGTAATCGAATAAGGGGGGCCCAAAAATTTCAAAATGTGGAATTTTCCCCAAGCAGAGTGCCTTTAATTTTTGTTTTCGTTAAAAACTGTATTTAACAAAGTTGTTCGACAACTCAAGAAATGCTTAGATACAGGGTTTGGTCTAAATAGAACAATAATCACATTTTGCAAATAAAAAGACGCCGCAATTTTTAACTATCTTATTTAAAGCATATAGAAATTGTAAAAAATAAGTAAACTTTTATGTTAAATTTAATATAATATAAAAATAGCTTAGTAGACTCTTTTAGTGTGATAATCGAAATTGTGTGGACCGAATCTGATCCTTGTATACTATTTACATGGATACTATAAAAATGAACAACTTGAAATTAATTTATTTTTGTAAGGATTTAGAAGTAATTAAGGAGGTATATCGGGGTCTGAGGGAAGTGAGGAGCACAGGGGGGTCCTATGCTTTTTTATGGGACCAAAACCCGCTGCCAATTTGAAAAAATTAAATTCTATTGAAATTATTTGCGATAAACATTATCTATATAGCAAAGAAATCTACTCATATGCACATAGCATACATATTGACTAATTAACAACATAAAAATATCATATTTAAGTAGTTTTAAATTATATTGAACGCATAAAGACTTTAATAATTGACTAGTAGTTGTACACACTGCGAACCTACAGACCTCGGACATCGGAGATATTGCGCGTCAAATTCGGGTAAAGATGCGTACCCGTTGAAAAATGTATTGTGTGTAAACTATGTACAATATAATTATTATATATAGCAAATATATTATCCTCGCGAAGATTTATATCCTTTATTTAAAATCCGTAAATCATGTAAACCGGTAAAACAACGAGAATTATGTTAATTTAGTTCTAAAGAAATGAAATGACACTCGCACCCATCTCTCGTCCAAGTCGAAGAAAATGTTGGATGCAATTTTGAAGGTTCTGTGATAGAAATTACATTATTACTCACTGTTCGTGTTTTTAATCTCTATTTTAGTAATGTTACAAAAGTTTTGCAACTATAACTAATTTTTTAGGTATAAAGTTTGCTGAGAAATATTTACGTTTCTTTGTTATTCGGTACAAATGCTTTTATATCAAGTATTACCTACTAATTATATTAATCAAGAAAACTTTATGTAATGATTACGATATTTTTATAAGCCATTAAATATATTAAAAGGATTTTCAACTGTATTTTTTATTCCAATAAATATATCACAGCTTCCTAGTCTTTTTTAATTAATCTAGTTTTTTAAAAACATTACAAAAAATCATCTGTTGTGGATAATTTATTGTTGATAACAATGTACATGGGATTTTCAAATCAATTTCGTTTTTATCAAGTCTTTCAAATGTATTCCCTCCTTGCTGTCAGCTGATTGCGACGTTGCCACATTAATCCTCAAGTCAGACAGAATTATTGGTTTCTGTTTCTAATTAATACAGCTGTACTATGTTCAAAACTTACATTAGTTTTACTATCTATGGAAAAATTTTGTTAACTCGATATAAAAGAATATTCCTAAAAGTAAATAAAGTAAAAATTTAACATTAGCCGTGTGATGCCTAATGCGCATGCTCGGGAAGAATAGCCTCATACGCAGGTGAGATCTTGTTGATATATCATCGCTGTCATCCTTCGCGTATTTTCTCTTCTTTTGTTTAATCTTAGCATTTTCTAGTTCGACTAAATATTTTTGTTGTTTTTCTTGGTGCTGTAGTGTGTCAGTGTGTTTATCGAGTGTTTATTTCTTCAAGTGGTTTATTATAGACGTACTCTTAACAATAACCAAATTTTCTTTTGAATAATATCCTTTTGCGAGGCTACTTTGCTTGCATGAAATTAACATTAATGCGCATTAATATGATTTAAAAAAATCGACTGTTTTTTTTCGTAATCCCCTCTGAAATGCAGTCAGGGAGGTGAGAAGAGATGGCTGTAAAAATCGGAACTCTTAATATTAATATTTTGAGGTCGCGCATCGCGATTTTCTATTTTCCAATTAAATAACATGGGAAAAATTATTTTTCAACTTCAGAATTTTATATCTTAAAAACCAATAGACGGATTTAAATGACCAAAACGTATTCTTGTAGGGAATTGAACGTTCTACAAGAAATGTCCCTTATCATTTTTTGATAAACCTACTCGTACAAAAGTTATTCAAATTCAAAGTTAAATTTATGTTATAATTACACTTTTTCTACAGTTTCAGGTAAAATTATTAAAGTTATCATGAAATATTATAAAAAAAGCATGTAAAAGAAAAGTCAAAATTGATAAGTTTGTCAAGTCTTTCAAATTAATATGACTGAAAAACCCCACCATTTCTGGGAAGAATCAATTAAAATCCTTTTTATTGTAATAGTATTTGAAATTTTTTTAAATTATTTCTTTACTAATGATAAATGACTTTTTGGTTGTGATAGTTTAAAATTTTCAGCATTCGTAAATGTAAACATATAGAACACTAAAAAATAAACGCTACTACATTTTAACGGTGATAGTTAAAGCTTTGACGACTTAATTCATTTTACTGTTTCGAGACAGATTATTATAAAGCACACAGGATGTTCTAGAAAGACCTTAATAGTTATACAAGCCCATATTAGTCAGTTAAATTTTATTAAATTTGAAACAATACAGGATAGTTTTAAATAATTACTTGAGCATTATGTACTTGTCTCCAAGAGCCTGTTGAAATGAATACTAAGTGTTTGATATAATTAACTAATTAGAATGTTTTATGGGTTTTTATCAAGGCATGACCCCAAAAAATGTTGCTACACCATGCTCGTTGTTTTGACAACCAGTAAATCTGTTTATTGTTAATTTAGAACAAAATGTATTGTAGATAATTTTAGTAAATGAAAATGAAACTATTTATCAGAGAAAATTGTGCTGCAAAGAATTAGTATTTTTATTATATTACGGTCCTATATTAATAAGTGCTCAAGATTAATATAGTATATAATAAATACTGATTAATTACTTTACTGGAGTTTTACAACTTCAACGAAATGCAAAGGCAATTGTTTATCTCGCGAATTGACATAATATGAACGTTCTACATACCATTTTGTAAATGTTTCAATAGAAAAACTGTTTCAGTTCAATGAAAGGACTTTAAATCAAAATCCATTATTAAAGCCATCAAATTACGTGCTTCCAATAAATGATTACAAAATAAATCACTGCGAATTGACGAATTGGATAATCCGAGACACTAATTTTGTGACAATTTACACTGATTCATGGACCAAATCCCACATTCCATCCCTTCAGTCCAATTTAATTTAAAATGTTATTTCAGTTGATACAAATGTAACACTTCTGAGTATGTCAAAACAAATAAAACAAGCACTTTAATGACGAATTTAAACAACAGTAACGGGGTAGAATCCCTAGAACTGTCAAAATTTATTACTTGACCATAGCTGTCTATTGTAGTATTTCCAAAAAAAAATAATAATAATTTTCAGATGAACAGTTTCGTAAAAAGTCAAAGTTATACATCATCCGGCATATAGTCCGGATTTAGCACCAATTCATTTTGTTTAAAATCCTTTTTTCAAAAGCTGTGATTCCTAGATTCTGGGTAACTTTCATACTTTCATAATACTGATACAAAACTACAGTTGTCTTTATGCAAGTCTACATTGTCCTTTTTCATTCCAGGCGCTTCATCAAAAATGGCTAACATGGACGACATACTGATCGTCTCGCTGAAATGTAGCGACGCAGCCGCATTGTGGGTAGAATATTTCTCCAACTATTTCCAAGAGATCAGCAAGCAAGCCAACCGGAAGCCCTTCAAGTAAGTACCTATTTAACTTGATGATGCAAATGCCCTAAACCCTAAACTCTACCTTCTCCAGGATACAGTACTTGGACCTGGAAGAAGCCATAAAGAAATCCCCGGAAGAATACAAGGAGGTGGCGGATAAAACGTCCGGAGTCAAACTGCAGCTGGTAGTAGTTTGTCCCAGTTTCCTCGAATTCATTTCCGAAAATCCAGAAGAATCGTGTAACGTTGGAAAGCTTCTGTTGGCGGATAGGACTCTAGCTCTCCTGCTGGGCGTTGCAGATACCGACTTGAATGATGTTCACAAAAAAGGTAGTTGCGCAAAAAATGTCAACATTGAACCAAATTTACATGTGTTTTCTTTTGACTTTCAGTATTGCCGACGTATTTTCAGTGGCAGAGGCAATGCGTAGGCCAAGACCAAGACGAGAACTTCACCAAGGAGTTCTTGGGACAGGCCATGACGATTCTGTCGAGAGTGTGGAAGCAGCAAAGTTCTGTTATTGCACAGGAGAAGTCGTGTTTTTCCGTTACACCAAAGAAAATTCGGCAGGTAAGTGTTTCACTGCAGAATATGAGATTAAAAAATAACCGTAAGACTCATTTTAAACAAAATAATGTTTCATAATTCGGTTTACCAAGTGCCGAGTGGAAGGCGCTAAAAAAAACCTAAAAAATATCGTTTGAAGAAGTCAAAAGTGAAGACAATGCTTTTATTATTCCAAGGGCATTGTCCACAGAGTTCCTTCCACGGGGCCAAATCGTTAATGCACAATTTTATTTTAGATTTTGAAACGTTTGGTGTATCATATATCAAGTTGGCATCTAATCGATCGACCCTTGTGACCGATTTTTTTTTTTTTTTGACATAAATGTAGCCCAGTCTATGGAAGTAATTTTGCACCGAAAGCACAAATAATTAGCAATATGGCCGATTTTTTCTTATAAGTTTTTCAAAGTATGTAGATTAATATAAGAAAAAGTTGGTCTATCAATTTCCCAGTCTAAAAAAATTTTGAAAAACACTGATTTTCGAAATTCTTTAATATTTTGGACTGGGATCAAAATACAGAAAAATAAAAAATAGTGCCTTGTAGAAGAAGTTTTTTCCAACAAAAAAGATGCTTTGCACTTTTTTCGTCCCAGCTATGGTTTTCTGGAAAAAATTATTAAAGCCATGAAGTCTTCTTCCGCGGGTAAACAAACGAATAAATTCACTCTTCAAACGTAAGAATTGTCAAATTTCACTCAAATATTGAATACATTAATATGTTGAAATGAATATTCCATCTTAATTCAATGCAAAAATATGAAAAATTAAAAAAATTTCAAAAATTTTTTTTTTAGACTCGTATATAGGTACTCAGGGTAGTATAAGTTAGTTAGTAATAAAAGGTAATATTTACATATTTTTATTACAAAATCATAGGGAAAAAATTAAATGGAAAATTACATGGAATCATCGTTTTCACGTATACTGTATACTTTCATACCTGTTGACTATTTACATTCTTCTCTTTGAATATTTGTCTTCATATTGTAGTAGTATCAAATATTATATTAAACGATCAAAGATCAAAGGAGATTTACACCGGGAACCAAAAAAATTGCTATTTTCTTACAACATTTAAAAAATCATTGAAAGTGAAAAAACGTTCGTAACCAAATGAATTTGTGCTTCGAGATTCTTAATCTGTGTAATTTCCTAAACATTTTAAAACAAGTCTCATTCAAATTAGTTTAGTTTTAATAAAGATCCAGAGACTAATATATATATTTTGCTGTAAACTCAAGATTCTTAAAATTTTTAAAATAACTACAAGGGTTGTATTTCGTAATTAGATAAAATACATTACCTGGAAATTTTGTTTGTGAAAGAGGTCGCCTAAATAACAATTCCCGACGTTGAAAAAAATTTTCGAACCGTCATGTTTAAGTATATTTGTCATTGAGACGCTCGGGTTTCGATTCGAATATGTAAAGATCGTATCCACCTAGTGCGCGTAAGTCCAATATCTAGGTTAATAAAAGATATAACTTTTTTTTCTACAGAGTTGTCTACTTTCCCGAGCTGCACAAAATGAAAATATATTTGCATATACAGAGTGTTCAGTTTTTCCCGGGCAGGTACCAACTTAATTTTTTTAAATGGAAACCTATATTTTTTATGGCATTATCGAATTCTACGTGAAAAATTAACGTGACTTTGTGTTATGATCCCTATTAAAATATTGATAGTTTTCGAGATAATCGACTTTTCATTTTTTTTTCTTATGTTTCGTCACTTCTAGTAGTTGACATAATTATGATTGTATGACAGCTAGAAATTATTTTTTTTTAGGAACTGTAGAGTGAAGATGGCTCTTTCAAATAACGTATCAAAAGTTGACCTGCGATATACAGGGGACAAAAAAAATCGTGCCAAACCTGATAATTTAAAATTTGAAAAATCTCGACTTTTTCAAATAAAACAAACACCCTGTATTTTTATGATTTCATTAGATGCCTTTCTGTAGACCCTACAATTTTTTAATAGCTTTCCCTATACCTAAGTTGCGTAGTTTTTGCAAAGAAAAATCCATTTTTATGTAAAATACCGGATTTGCGCCCGTTCCTTTGCCGGGAAAAATATTGTGAGGGTATTTATTTTAAGTTAGCTTGCGACTATGAGTATTCTTTTTTCAAAATTCTATTCATCCAAATTTTTTAATCTCCAATTTCACTAATAACTTTCCTAACAACGGTAACAGTGCTTGATTTTCAATATGATACGAATGAAACTTCTTCTTCAATATTTTATTTGTCAAGCTTTTCAAAACTCCAAGGTTACTACTAATTTCCTGGCACTAATATTTGGATTTTCAGCAGCAGACGCCACAACTTTAAATTAAATATTATCGTTGTTACTTTCATGGCTCCTGATAGTCTTCTCATAATTCGCATTTGCTGTTCATTCAAACCTTTCCTTCACATTTTCAAAACAGTGGGAATCTGTAAATTTGGATCATTTGCTTTGTAAATACGTGCTGCTAGCAAACATTTCCCATATTTTGCTAATTCTAAATCACTTGTAGCGATTTTATGGTTTTTTGATTTTATTTACAAATAAATGGTAACTTCCCATAAAGACTTATTTATTAAATTCAAATATCTAAATTTTTCAGTTATTAATTTTTATTTTAAATACTGTAGCTAGACAACTAATAAATTTAATGAAAATAAATACCCTTACAATATTTTTCCCGACAAAAGAACGGGCGTAAATCCGGTATTTTACATAAAAATGTTTTTTTTTTTTGCAAAAACTACGCAACTTAGGTATAGGGAAAGCTATTAAAAAATTGTAGGGTCTACAGAAAGACATCTAACAAAATCATAAAACACAGGGTGTTCTATTTGAAAAAGTCGAGATTTTTCAAATTTTAAATTTTCAGGTTTGGCACGATTTTTTTTGCCCCCTGTATATCGCAGGTCAACTTTTGATACGTTTTTTGAAAGGGCCATCTTCACTCTACAGTTCCTGAAAAAAATATAATTTCTAGCTCTCATACAATCATAATTATGTCAACTACTAGAATTGACGAAACATAAGAAAAAAAAATCAAAAGTCGATTATCTCGAAAACTATCAATATTTTAATAGGGATCATAACTCAAAGTTCCGTTAATTTTTCACGTAGAATTCGATAATGGCATAAAAAACATAGGTTTCCATTAAAAAAAATTAAGTTGGTACCTGCCCAGGAAAACCTAAACACCCTGTATATGCAAATATATTTTCATTTTGTGCAGCTCGGGAAAGTAGGCAACTCTGTAGAAAAAAAATTAAATTATATCTTTTATTAACCTAGATATTGGACTTACGCGCACTAGGTGGACACGGTATATATACAAGTTGTTCCTAAATAAATGCCGCAACGAAACACTGTAAATTCCTCTTGAAAAAAGCAACATTTTCCTCTTCCAGTTTTTTCTCCGGGCTTTCGTTTTTGAGATACACGGTGTCAAAACTTTCATTTTTTTTAAATTTTTTACCAATATCTTAGGAACCGTTTGAACTACAGGACTAAGTTTTTGTACACGCATTACCACTATTAATAACTACTTTTTCGCACCCTTCTCGAATTCATTGAACGTGTCAGTGGTGGAGATTTTAATGTCAACCGTTTTCAAGAAAAATGACTTTTTATGAACAAAAACAAACATTTTGCTAACGTTTCAAAAATCTTTTGTAATTCAAAAGATAGATAGTAATAATTAACAAGTTTAACGAAATTTAACAACATTTGCAACAAGTAGCTATTAATAGTAATAATGTGTGTACACAAGCTCAGTCCTGTAGTTCAAACGGTTCCTAAGGTATTGGCAAAAATCTGAAAAAAGTTTTGACACCGTGTATCTTGAAAACGAAAGCCCGGAGAGAAAAATAGTAGAGGAAAAAAATGTTTCTCTTTATAAGAAAAATTTACAGTTTTCCGTTGCGACACTTATTTAGGAACACCCTGTATATGCTTAATCATTTATTCGATCTTTTACTAGAAAAAAAGAATTAACCATACCAATGAAAATTTTCGACTTCCTACTTGAAAATGGGCTATTACAATTATTAATTTAATACCCTATAACTATGCAATAGTTTATAATGTAGAGTGTTGTTGTTTTTCCGGCCAAACCATAGGTCAGACGAAAAAAGTACAACGTATCTTTTTTGTTGGAAAATACTTCCCCTACAAGGTGTTATTTTTTATTTTTCTCCATCTTCATCCCAGTCCAATATATTAATGAATTTTGGAAATCAAAATGTTTTTCAAAATTTTTTTGAACTTTGGGAAATCGATAGACCACTGACCAATGAACTGTTTCTTATATTAATCTGCATACTTTGAAGTACTTACTTATAAAAATCAGATATATTGCTAGTTACTTGTTTCTGTGACCTCCACCGACTGGGCTAATGGCATTTTAACCATGAACCACGCCCCGTAGTCGCCTGATTTTACACCGTGTGACTTTTTCCTTTTAGGAAAAAAACATTTGCCGATGTTTGCCGACATGTTTTTAGACCATGCAAATCGCTGTACTGAATCGGTAGTTTTGAACAAAATAAATCGGTTTTTCCAAAAAAACTTTCTGTTCTTATTTCTAAAAGGTACTGTTTATTTTGGAACGCACCTTGTATATTCAAAACCAAGGTTATAAATTATAGCTTTTAACTACACGCTGCTCTACTGTCAATAATCACCGTCGCCGTTATTTACAGGGCCAGAACAGCGTGTTCATCCTGCTCACCTATCCTCTGCAGAAGGAGGACATCGTCAAAATATCCGTGGAGAAGAACGGCGAACTGTACGAGATCAAATCGGTGAAGAGGCGCAACCCTTACATCATGAAGATCACCGTCCCGGAAACGCTGACGGAGGTCACCGCCATCGTCAACGTGCTGGTGGAGAAGAACGGCAGCATCATCGGCAGCCGGCCCATCAAGTGTGAAAGCCGATTGAGGGAGCTCGAGCAGATTTTACGCTCCGCTAACAATCCTGTGGAATTCATGTGCCAGGTGGGTGGCGGCAGGCTTTGATCCCTGCTTTATCTTTATTTATCGGCGGCTGGTCTATTCGATCGTTCATTTATATCACATACATACATATTATATAATATGTATAAAGCTAAAGCTATATGGAATGTATAGAATATAAAAATCAGTGTAAGCAAAGTCAATTACTTCTATAAATACGCAATAGAAATAGTTAGAATTGGTTATACAAAGGAGGAGGATAGCTTTGGACTATCTTAATTTTAGATTTAAATTGTAAAAAATCATTTCTTTATCATCTGTTATCAATATTCATCTGATTCCACCCCAAACAGAACCTCCACCCACTTGCACATAACTCTTCTATACAGTGGCAGCTGGTGCGGAGGGGCACTGGTGTGGCGCCCACCTAAAAATTTTCATTAGGTATCTGGATAATTAAATAGATTAGCCTTATGGAACACATTAAATTTATAATGTGCAGTCATTTGAAAAACTCTGAATACGGGGGCTCCGCGTTGCTCACTCCTACATCCGTAAAGTGTTTACAGCGGTGGTCATGGTTACCGTCACGCAACAGTGACAGACGTAGTGGGAGTAGCGCATATATACTATACAGTTTAGGCTCTGGTTAGTGCCACCGTAACAAAATAATAGCTGTTCACGGCTTTTTTTCTTATTAAACGTAATTTGTTCAGGTGGGGTGGAACAGTTTGTTACTTACGTGTTGCTTCTTGTGTGTTTTTTAAAAGAACGTAAACATTTAAGTTTATTGTAAAGACAAACTAGTAATACTATCTATTGAAAAATTAACGATGCGAAAATACCAAACTTTCTGTATGCGTTGGAAGTGGTCCGATTTTAATTTTTCAGCCGGATTTTAGAAGTAGCCGTATAAATTATAATGCTACAAAACATTTATTCTAATTTGTCGATAAAATGATGCGAAATAGGTAAAAAATTCCTCCAAACATGCTCAAAAACGGTCGAGCGCGTACGCGGTCGAGCAGTGGGGGAAGGTCGGGAGATGAGGGCAGTGGATATACAGGGTGTTTGGTAAGGCGATGATTTCTTTAACAATATCTAGAGACATGCCTGTGCGCACGCCACTGTGAAACTAAAAACAATATTTTTATCGTAAAACATGTATTGTTCATTGTTAGAGCTTGTAAAATTTCATTAAAATATTCTGAGCAGTTTCCGCAATATTTATAAATTTGCATTTTTTTATTCAAACTTTATCACGCTGTAGATCAGAAATTAAGCGTTTTCGGAATATGGTATATTAAGGAAATATATCACAAATCACTTGCACTATAACCTCCTGCAAGGAATGCATCGACTTACCAAACACCCTGTATATAGGTATACAATTTTGAATATTGTTATAGAATATTTTAATATTATTGTGGTGTAAGTGGTGATAAATAAAAAAAATGTAATAAAATTTCACACCTAAATATGTATTCTTTGGAAGAAAATCACCTCCAACGCAACCAGAAACTTTGCAAAATAGTGCACCAAAAAATTAAAATTGCAATTGTGCCAAAACTAATGGCCCGACAGCGCCTGCTTTGTGCACACTTAAAGAACATATAATTAATTACTTTTGTGCACAGGGTCAGCTCTACATCTTAAAAAATGACGGAGTAATGAATTTTTAAAAAAACTCTAAATTTTCCGATTTTTCCGGGTTTTCTTCGTTTCTAATTATCCGATCGGATCGATCGACCTCTCGATTTATTAGTATTTCGATTATTTACAAATTGTCTCTTTATAGCATTCAGATTGCTTCGTTAGTTTAGGTTTTATAAGCAAAAAACTAAAAAAAAATGCGTTTTTTGCATAAAAATGTTTATAAAAAATTAATTGATTGAAAATTGGAGTAGGAAACATATAAGCATATATCTACATAGTATCTTGTATAATATGATGGTACAGTCCTTTTACTACTAGTATTTTTGTCACAAACAGAACCTCTATTGATTGGCCTATAATAACAATATTTTTCGTTTATGTTTTTTGACACAACCTAAAAGATTTGTTGTAAGAAATAAAATATACAGGGTCGGAAAGTCCCCATGGTTCATCGGCCGTTACGTGAGAGCGATAAAGTAAGTCATAGAAATCCGTGTGATAGAGAAAGATGGCTACAATGAAGGCGTCTAATAGTCACCGCTCATTTCGTCCAAACAACTAAAACGTTCGTCGGTTGTTTCACATATAGCTTATTGATGAGAACTAATAAATTTGAAACCGCAGTCTCTCTGGTGATTCTGCTAATGAATGATATTAGCTTTTTAACAGATATTGCACTGATACTTTCCTTGTTAGGATTTGTTTAAAAATCTAAATGCCGGTAATGTCATTAGATTATTATCCAAATTTTCTTATTTTCTTGTTATTAAGGTATATATGCAAAATACAATCACCAAAGAAACTTCCTAAGAGAAGCGCAATATACTTATTAAAAATTTAATAGCTGAGTTGTATTTATAGGATAATTAATTGAAAAATACTATGAACTACTAAAGTTATATCACTTTAATTATTTTCTGGATGCTTTATATATTACATTAAATTATTTAAAGTACTTTGTACCTCATGTCACAAATTTATTATTTTTATTTTTTAGACTTTGGGCTTCAGCCCCGCAAACAGGGACCACTTAGACAACTGGTTAGTTCATGGATTTCAAAGGAACCTACCCCCACATTTCAACCTATTAGCTAACCACCATACCCCTTTCGCAGCCGCGGTACAAGCGCACAAACATAGTAAGTATTAAGTACTAATATATTTTTTCATTCAAAAGATAAATGGTCTGTCACTGCTTGGTTTGCAGCCAAACCATCTTGCTCTTTTTATTTGAAACCAAACTTAGTGTGAGATAAAAATTTGACTGTTATCCATAATTAACATAAACTAACAAATTAATTATTAATTATACATAATTACAAAAGTTTAAAATCTTAAAAATTGCAGGTCATGAGGAATTCCCCACTGTACTCCACTTCTCAACAAAATTCGGTCTGGAAAAGCTAACCATGCAACTATTAGATTGTCCTGGGGCTGATGTAGCCTATGAAATAAGAAACATCTACGATATGACGCCCTTGGAAATAGCCGAGGCTAATGGGTTCACAGAACTAGCCACTATGCTCAGAGGATACATTGTAAGTGCCATTTCCTTTATATCTTCACATATACATAGTGCAATTTAGTGTATAAATGTACAGAGTGTTTGCTGAATGCTGAAGCAACTATATTTAAAAAAAATGGAAAGCTACATGTATATTTTTATAAAATTGAAATCTATGCGAAATAGAACTGGCAAAATGAAACATTTTTTTTATTTGTGGCATATCTTACGATTTCGAAATCAAAGTTGAAATCGAGAGCAGCTCTGGGACCAGCTACACTTATTAAGATTTTTGCACACTTTGTCAATTGTTGATTTTTTTTATAAATCAACAGACATCTTAAAAACTACTACTATACAGGATACATATAATACACTGGCGAGCAAAAAATTACACCATAATTATCGCCACAACAACAGGTCCAAAAAGCACGATGGCTTATTAAATGAATAAAACACCTTTCAACTGTGGTTTTACAGTTAGAAAAATCAATTCCTAAATAAACCACACTAAACCCTTGGCACCAAGATATGGAATAGCAGTTACTACTATTGCACACTATTTTAATGACGTACTTACCAAGGTGCCCCTTTATGTCAAATTAAACTAAATGACAGATAACAAGTCTTGAAAAACAAATGTTCAGCGCCTACTAATATAATGGCATATCCTTAATATAATTGCTCCGAAAATTATTTACAATAATTATTATCAATGTGACCTTAAATTTTTGCTCGCCAGTGTATAATAAAAATAATTACTTCAGTGCTTTGCCACAAAACAACCGCTAGCTAATAATATTTTTAAAATATGGACCATCACATTATTACACATGTTCCAAAAATTAATCTTCTCTAAATGTAATTTACACTTATTGTTAGTACATATAATAATAATATTCTTACAAAACTGCTTTGTATTTTTTTTTAAATCTAAGTAGAATATATTTGTTAAATACATTTTTATTTATTTTACAGAATATGAACGAATTTACCAGCATGTACGCAAAGTTGAAAGAGATGAGCTTGACCCCAAAGTCTGATGTTGGTAAGAAATATATTTTTAAAATTACCAAACACACCTACATCTACATACATTTTTAAAATGAAATGCATACATTTTTAAATAAAAATAAAGCGAGTGATTCTAAATATTTGTGCAACTTTCAGATGATGAAGGCTACTTAATGCCAAAAAACGTCCAAGACTTCTACAAATTATGCCCAGCGCCAAGACCCGTAATACCCGAAAGTAACCACATTGAGACTCCTTCGAGTGAGTGTGCATCACCGTTGGGAGGTTATATGGCGATGAATACACCAGGTAGCTATAAATTTCACTTTCTCATGCCAAATACCTTCATTCGAATATGTCGCATAATTTTTATGACATCCATTTCAGTATATATACCAAAAGAAGAACCCAAAGAAAGCTCAAAAAAATCCACAATCGACGACCAAGAGCCCATACCCCCAACTGAGAACCTGGAACCCGTGCCAAAAAACCACAAACACAAGAAGAAAATAGACGTTATAGAAGATAAAGTACAAAAAGAATTGGTGGAGATCATCAATGATTTTAAAAATAATGTACACTCCATCTCCCAAGTAGAAAAACTAGTTGAAGAATGGAAGAACCGCAACGATGTACAGAAATCGTTCAAAGAGAAACAGGAACAGCTGATGGAGATGAGGGTGCGCTATGAACAAATCCAAACTGAACTAAAGACTGCCATGAAAAAACCCACACCGTTCGAGAGAATCAAAAAGATGTTCTGGAAAAACAGGCATGACAAGCAAGAGGTGGCAACACCCATCTTGAATGCTGGTATGCCTAGTATAACAATTGTACAGTCTCAAAGGCCAATCAGTAGTCTGAGCACTTCCAGCTCTGGATCTTCTGGGAGAATGAGCACCATCAGCGGATGTAGTCTGGGGGACAGTGGAACGCATTCAGATAACGAAGATCGGAAGGTAGGAATTACTACATTTAATATAAAAAATTAAGTACTATGTGTTTACTAATTTTTTTTGCAGATGATGCTAGGAAGCCACTGCGAAGATGATTTCAGAAGTGACCTGAACAAAGCAGTACTGGAGCTCAACTACACACCTGTACCTGCGCCTAAACCCGTGAAGATGTTCCCCACAAGGCACACTTTTGAAACGATAGAGGTAAGACAATACGACACCTCACACATATTGTTTTACTAAAATGTTCCTCTCTGCAGGAAAAACCAGTTACAAGGCCTGACAATTTACCACTGAACGAGGAATATTATATTCAGTTTCCTCCATCTGGTCTGCCTGTACAAGGTTTGTATTTTTATTTAATTTAAACTACTTTAATATAGTGACGGCTAAATGATTTGCCATTTAAAAATTGGTAAATGACATCACTAGCGATGGGCAGAATCAGGTATATTTAAGAATCTTAGAACCGTGTGACGGATGGAAGAGTAAACGTTGAATGAAAAACATAAAAAACCAGAACTTTTAAGAATCAAGTACTAAGTACTCAATTTTTCACTCGAGATCTCCCATCACTAGCCGTCACTACTTCAGTAACTAGGTGCCTATAGGTATACTATAATTAGAAATTGTACAAACATTTTCGTTTTTAGGAACTGAAAAATCAGAACAAGATCAAATGTCTACGAGTGAATACATGAATGTGACAGCTAGTACAAGTACACACGAATATATGAACTTTAAAGTTCCACTGTCAAGATAATTCATTGTATTATAATAATAATATAATAATAAATGTTTAGTATTAAAAATATATTTATGTAATTATTTATTTATTACTGTGTTATAACTACAAAAAGTTGTCTTTTGTATTTTATATTTTATGTAATTTTTATATTTTGTACATTTTATATTGCAATACATTACAAATTTGAATATGATTGTATTTTATGTTTTCAACCCGTTTTCCATAGAAGATTTAGAGAAAGGTATGTCTGAAAGACGTAACTGGAAAAAAATATATCAAATACTAACCTTTACAAATTCGTCCCAGGATTAAATAATGCTCAAAAGGATCACAGTTTTTGCGACATTTGTTTTGAGAAACACACACTTCACTTTTCTGTTTTTATTATTATTCTTTTTTTAACATTTATTTGTTAGTATATAATAATAATTATACAAAATTTAAACTACCGTATACCCATTCTTATTCCAAAACATAACAAAATATTTGACATTTGACAGAAAATGGCGGGAAATATTGAGCTTAGGATTCATTATTAGGCAACACATAATACAACTTACTGTACTGTAAAGTGTATATCTTTGGATTTGTACATTTATATTTATTATTTGTTTTCTGTTATCCTAATATTGTTTATTTAATCACTTTATTTTAGTAAAAATGTTCATAACAAACTAAACCTTTAAAACATTTATCGATATCTTCCAATACATATATAATACATGCATATAACACCTTTCACTGATAATAATCCCATTGTTATTCCTCCCTATGAAAATACATTTGCTGCCCAAAAATGAATCTAGAATTTAGCATATGCTTCAGGATAACATAAGAATACAACCGTCATGAATAACTGAGTAAATGAAAGTAATATAAATAGATATTTTGTATTTGTAGTACCATTTTCCGGTGCAAGGTAGATATTAGGCAACTAATAAAGCAGTAATTGTGTTGTGTGTGTGGACTATCTATCTATAACAAATTTTAAAAAAAAAAGAAAATTAATTAGTATTAGTGTTATTAACTCTACGGATTTATCCATAGATCTACGAATTTATTTCAGTATTCCCAATAAAATAAATCTACGGATTTTTTATCGTTCTATTTTTTTTATATATGTTGTCACTCTTAAATGAAAGTTTTAAATACAATGTTTCACAGTGATGTTTCTGTCCCCATTGCTAATTTTTAATAGGACTACTGTCCAAATAAATTAAATTCCAAACGGTATTTTTTTATTCATTTCATGTTTCTTTTATAAAATTACGTACATAATGTGATACATGTTTCAAAAAAGGGTTCGTTTAATTCTTGACATTGCTCACATTTATTTGAGTTTTAGACTGGCCGAGGTACTTAAATCTAAGACAGCTTGCTTTAAATAGAGACAATTTGATGCAGAGAAGATAATTCATTGAGTTTAATCCGACCAGTGGTATTTATCATTATTAGTTCCAATTTGTAGAACGTTTAAACATCAACCTCAAAAGGAGGAAAATTAATAGTTTCCAAGAATTCTGTTTAATTTTGTATTTTTTAGATTTTGTAATTTGTGGTATGGATCCATGTGCATCCACAAAGTTAGTAACACTGAAATTAATTGGTGTTAACTCAAGATATCTTTTTTGTGATACCTATAAACAATTTTTTCTAAATATATTGTATTCATTTTAGTATTAAAACTACAAATAAAGTTATGAAATAAAAATATGCATACTTTTTCAGCCATGATAAATGAATCTAGTAACGTTCTTTAACGAAACTAAGATATTAAAAATACTATACATTCATATTATACATTTATATTCATATTTAGACTAGCAATTTTTTCATCTTTTATTAAAAGAACCAAAAATTGTAATTTATTATTTATACATAGTATCGATTGTAATTTTTGTAACAAAAACATATTTTTCTTAAAATAATGCACTTTATTCCATATTTTAAGGACATACACATAAAAAAATGAACATTCACTGGTTACAAATAAAACAATCTTATCTTAAAAGGCTATGTGCTTAGTTTAGAACCTAGAGATCTACTCATTTTCTCCTGTCGTTTCTGATGCTGTTCCCACACTCTTCTTTCCCTCTCTAGCCGTTTCTTCTCCCGCAACACCTTCTGAGCATCAGAATCCAACGCTTCGCCCTCCCAACCTGACGTTTCTTCCCACTCTCTCAATTCCAGCATAGGCTAAAATAAATATAAAGTAATGCTGTTCTCAAAACCAATAAAACTTTAGAAATAACTCTAAAACTAGTTATATAGAGCCTTCATAATAGATTGTAAGCCACATGACAGCTGAGCTTATGCAGCCAACATCGCGAGGCTAGTATTGTCAATTAAAAATCACTAAACCTTAAAAGACACCAATATTAATGGTTCGTTTACAATGAACAATGACAAACCATTACGTCTAAGCTCGAGATAATGTGATCGCTCATTGGTTGAATAAAATATCGTGAAAAATTACCATTTTATAATAAGCAATGTTTACTAACAATTTTTAAATGGATTTGTCCTTACTACATATTTTTAGTGGGGCTACTTACAATGGCGTTTACAGAATCTTCTACAAAATTCAGTCTATTCGATTGCTTGAAATCACCACCCTGATTGGTGCTGATGAGGACCTTGGTCTGTTTTGTAATATTTGGCGTCATGTCCTCGAAGAAATTCAGCTGCTCTTCGGGCTCCTCCTCACCCTTGCTCTGCTTGAGAATTTGTGTTTGTTTTCTATACATCTCTATGTGGTCCTGCACAGTTTTCTCTTTACGATCGTTCGCATGGTCTCCCCAGTCTTCCCATGTCTGGAAATTATTCTTAGTTTCTTCACTGTTAGAAACAACATGAGTTAAAGGGACCGATTCACAACTACTTCGTCGTCTTCTACGGAAACAACACAACGCTCTTCGAAATATATTTACAAATACAAAAATGAAGGATTTGATTTTGTTCAAAAGAACGGCAACTATCATTTTGCGAAATGGAATGGAATGCGATGATACTTTGGCAATTTAAGGAATATCAGTCATTTCTTTATGTGTATAACTTTTCTACGTTATCATCAGTTTTAACAATAACTAAATAGTGCATATTCTCAGCATTATCAAGTTAAATAATACTAGTTTGACAAATGTCATATGTTGCCTTCTATTTCAGAAATACCTATATTTTGCTTTTTGCCGGCCGGCTTGCATTAGTTACGCGTTTTAATATGAGATGGCGCCGCAGGAGAGAAGTAAGTTCCCTAATAACCAAACGAAACATCGTTCATGTAGTGTTTGCCTTCAGATGTATGGTTGCAATATTCAAAAAAATCTAGAGAAAAACCAAAACATATACACATTTCCACTTCCAGAGTTAAAACAATAACAGTAATATATTAAAGAAGCCAAATCACCCTATGTTCTAAGTTCTATGTAGTATAGTACCTAATAAACAAAGAAAAAATCTGGAGATTTATAAAATGGAATACCTGTACAATTTTAATATAGAGATATACCTACAGAGTGTCTCCTAAATGTCTTAATGATGAATAATTGACGTTTGACAACTATGCAGATCAACCCCCAAGGCCTAATAAATTACGCCCTTATCATTATCGTTATTTATTACATTGATTACCCTTAACAAATTAAAAAATATATTAAAGAGGCAGATATACCGATTTTCAAAAATATTATAACATTTCAAAGACATGCAATTTGCCGCAAGGGGCGCCCTCTATGTATATGTATATGTACTTAAAATGCCAACCAAAACAATATGATTTTTCGTAAAATAAATACATATAAATCCAAAACAAGTAAAAGTTCAATATTACATCAATTATTATTTTATAGATAAATTCTAATACTTTTTTAATAACTACTATGTATTTTTATTTTCGAAAACAACTCGAAGTACCTAACAGACTTTTTTTCATTTGTTTATCCTTCTCTCATTATGACCAACCAGCAAGTATTGGCATAAGAATGTAGGTCTTCGACAAGGTTATGCAATATTTTATATTATTTTTCATCTTTCACTCTATTGGTAAAGGTAGGCTAAAATTAAAAAAAAATACGAATAAGAATAATTTGCATAAATTAAGCATGGCTTGCCGCCTGCAGCGGTAACGAAATAGATAAGATGTCTAATTAATATTTAATTAAGACGAATTCGAGAAAATAGAAAAAATATATCGCCGGGGGGCTAATGTAATTATTTGCCTTCTTTCAAATGGGTTTTAAAGCTGTTTAGCATTCAGTTCGAGTTCGTCCGTGGCCGCAAACTGTGCTCTTCTCGATTAATAATAATTAACTATGAGTAAGGCATGTTTAGCTTTGTTCTGATGTTCGAATTCGCTATAATTATTTAATTTCCAGGGAAATTTACCGTCCTCTGTTTACTGTTGGTCTTCGCAGCATATGGCGCAACAGGCATAGATCGTGAGTAAAAAAACCGTTCTTTACTGATTTAACGATTAATTTATTATTTTTTTTATAATTTATCTCGAAAAACTGAAGATAATATTTCGGTGCAAAATTATTTTATACATCTCCAACAATAATTACCTTTACTTTAGCGACACGTTTAGATTTCTGGCGCCTTATACAGTATCTTATACCGAGTACCGACCCACATTTTCAAATTAGCTAAAATATGTTTTTTAAAAAATAATCTTGTATACAGGGTGATTTAGTTTTTATTATTAGGACATTAACCATCGATAGATCTCATCAAAATAATATCATTTTGAAGTAAAAATTTTTTCTTCCAAAGGCTTCCTTTTAAAGATATAAGCTCTTGAAAAAACATTTTTTTTTGTTTTTTATTTAATTTTTCTTAAATTATGAAAGCCATTTGTTGTATATTTAGTATGAAGTGTACAAATTTAAAGCTCTATCGATTTTATAGTGAAAATAAATCAATCATAGGCGTCCGTAAGGGCTCTGATAATCCCTGTTTTTAATATAATTTGTACGTCCCTGGAAATTTTCCAAAATGAATATATTTTTTTAGATTGCGGATTATTCTACAGCAAAAAGGTCTCTTACTATTTTTAAATGAAATGCTTGATTTTTTTTTGAGAAAAATGGCATCTTATGGATTCATTACCTACAATTAGGTAAAAAGGGTAATGAATGTATGACACTATTTAAATTTATGATTAAGAATAGGTCCAGAATATATCAATTGAGTGTTAATAATATTTTAAAGTGACATCTAAAACTATCTTTTTCTATTTTATTACCGAAGAAACTTTTGAAAAAAAATCTCATGCTCCTTGAAGGTGATTCTTAGAATAACAATTGTTTATACGTATTTTGACATATTTCCTGTCATTGATTTTACGTTACATTATTAAATTGTTATTTCTGTTTGTTTCTCAATATTAAATATTTAAAACTTAACCATTTCACATATAATGAATCCATAAGAAGACAATTTTCTCAGAAACCAAGCATTTCAGTTAAAAATAGTAAGAGACCTTTTTGCTGTAGAATAAACAGCAATGTAAAAAAAAATATATTTATTTTGAAAAATTTCCACTGACGTAGAAATTATATTAAAAATAGTTATTATCAGAGCCCCTTACGGGCGCCTATGATTGATCTATTTTCACAATAATTTATAAAATCGGCAGAGCTTCTCGTTCGTACACTTCATAATAAATATAAAACAAATGGCTTTCATAATTTAAGAAAAATTAAATAAAAACCAAAAAAAACATGTTTTTTCAAGGTCTTATATCTCTAAAAGGAATTCTTTGGAAGAAAACGTGTATATTTCAAAATAACATTATTTTGACGAAATCTGTCGATGGTTAAAGTCCTAATCATGAAAAGTGAATCACCCTGTATATTTGCGTAATCGAAAACTACGGAAAATTTCCTTTATAATATTCGTTAATTTACAAAAAAAATGACAGTTCATAGGACCTGTAAGGTACAAGGATCATAACATTTTGTTGTGTTGCAAATTCGCATTTCATTTTTGGCACAGTGCTATACTTCCAATCGCAATAAATTAAAATATAATAGATAGATTTTTCAGTTTCATTTTATCAATTTCATAAATAAAGATGTTTGTTTCATATGAAACATTCTATATGTCTTTATTTAGTGTTGGTAGCATTAAATTATCTTTTTTTATATTGGTAACCTATAGTGTAATAACAACTTTTTTGAGATTTTCTTTGATATTTGAAATTTCTCTATAAACGTTCCTATCAAATTATTCACCGATGTAAAAAAATGTTTTTCAGAAATCGATTACTTTTAAACTAAGTGTAAATAGTTGTAGAGATATACAGGCGCTACTAGAAGATGGACATCTCTGGATGGTATCCCATCCAAGTAGTTACCACAATTTCATTGCTTAAAATCAATTCAATTTATAATAATTCATAAGATTAGAATTATAATTAAAAAAACGCAATAAAAATATTTGAATAATTTATAATGCTAGAAATCAAAGAAAACATGTACCTTGTATATATTTATTGTCTTGTTCTTACATAAAATCGATAAAAAAATTCAAAATATAACATTTATGTGGTTATAAAAATGTCGTTTTAGGAACTTAACAGCTTGCACTTACATGAACATTTACGACAGGCAAAAATAAATTTATTGTTTTTAAAAGGTGGTTACATAATCTCGCGTAGCATAAATATACAGGGTGATCGTTATGTAACAGAGAGATTCACTATATTTTGACCACCCCCCCTTTAACTTTTTTATTTTAAGAGTTATAAAAAAATGTAATTTTTTTTTACATATTTGGATAGAACGTTCCCTGTCGAGTATAGTCATATCGGGTTTGTTGGGTTTATCTCTAACAATAAGCGAGATAATATTAAAAAACTAAAAGAAGGTTTTTTATTAAGAAAATAAGACATTTTGTAATTGTTAGACCTTTTTCAGGCATAAAAAATGTTAAATATGAAAATTGCACGAGTTTTTGAAAATGATAGTAGAAAAACAAATGAAGTCGAAACAAAATGGCCGTGTATGTTAATTTTGTTAATTTAGATGGAACACTCTGTATATTTTTACATATTTGGATAGAACGTTCCCTGTCGAGCAAAGTCATAGGGTTTGTTGAGTTGATCTCGAACAATAAGCGAGATAATATTAAAAATCGAAAAAAGGTTTTTTATTAAGAAAATAAGACATCTTGTAATTGTTAGACCTCTTTCAGGCATAAAAAATGTTAAATATGAAAATTGCACGATTTTTTATGAAGTTTTTGAAAATGATAGTAGAAAAACAAATGAAGTCGAAACAAAATGGCCGCGTATGTTAATTTTGTTAATTTAAATGGAACACCCTGTATAATTTTACATATTTGGATAGAACGTTCCCTGTCGAGCAAAGTCATAGGGTTTGTTGAGTTGATCTCGAACAATAAGCGAGATAATATTAAAAAACGAAAAAAGGTTTTTTATTAAGAAAATAAGACATCTTGTCATTGTTAGACCTCTTTCAGGCATTTCCGCCTTTTTTTTCCAATAGAAATAACTTCTTTAGGCCATTTTAAAGAAAAAATGTCCTGGTTTAACTTTCATCATACAGGGAAACAAATGCACATTTGCTAATCACATAATTAGCTTAGGATTTTGAAGTAGATTTAGTTTTTTTTTATTTCCTAATGAAAATTATTTTTAGTGAGCTGCCCTTTGTCCAGTAAGATGACAACTTGTACTCCAAAATGTAAGGACGACAGCGAATGTTTTGGTCGCAAATGTTGTTCCAATATTTGTAACACCAAGTCCTGTGTACCTGCAAACATGAAGTTGGACAATAGTGATGGATACAAAAACCAGAATTCAAGTTAGTATTAAACCAAATAATCTAGCGATAATATTCACTCCTATAAGCAATCATCTTCGGAAATATTACAGAACAGAGATATAATACTTATTAAGTATTTTGGCAAAGCTTATAAAGATATTTACGGTTTTTTCCTCCTGCAAATTTTCATATTTTACTCAAAAATTATTATTGGGAATAATGTTTTCTTTACTAGTAAATATATCACAATTTCTTAAATAAAAAAAATAGCGATTCTGTGGTCATTTTTCCTATAATCTTTGTTTCTGGAATACCCATATATAGAAATAAGTTCTGAATATCAGTATAAACAGAAAATTGTTGCTATCTCGTTGTATTTCCTTCTTACCATAAATAATGACCACTAGAAATTCCAGAAAATCATAATCATTTCCAATGTAAAATACCGTGTAGATTAAATTATTATTGTTAACAGTTTACATTTTAAATTGCATAAGAGTTCCAGAAATTTTAACACGTAACACATATGCAAGCTATAAACATATCAGTTAATGTACCTATTTAAGAAAGTTAAATTATTGCTGTGTCGTTAGTAACTATGGATGAGTCATTCTGGTGTTTTATAACAATTTTGTTTATTTAGAATCCATTGTTATTGTTATTGATACAATTACGAGATATACCTACCTGCATACCATGTCCATACACTTTTCATGTACAGTTTCTGTTTTATATATCTTGGAAAGTTCATTTACTGGTATATTTTTCTTTGCTTAATATACAGGATGTGCCATTTAACAATCTCGCTACCAATATCTCCCAAATGAAGAAATTTATTTTAGTTCCGGAATCTGGATTTGTTAGGTCCCTCGAATAGCTTCAAATTCCAACTAAAATAAATTTCTTCATTTCGGAGATATTGGCAGCGGGAGTGTTAAATGGCAACCTCTGTATATCATTATTTTTCTCTTGGTAGTTCTGATTACCAACCAAAGATAATTATTGATTTCTGTACTACTTCAAGTATGTTAAACGTACATTTTGTTTCAGAAAGTGCTACTGGCAGTTATTGCGGTAACGTGAAATGTAACTCTTTCGAAAGATGCGAACTAGACCGTACCACAAAACGTCAGAGATGTGTCCGTCACTGAAAGTGACCTGGACCTACTAAGCATTAGTAAAAGTTGATGTTATTCGAAGGTTTTATAGTAGAGAAAAGTCAAACATTTTATAATTGTCAGGTTAAAAACATTTTATTATTTTTTGCGTCAATTTATCTATTCTACAAACAGCCAAGAATAAAAATTAAAAGTATATGAATATCATATGGCAATCGCTCGTGACCTTAATGCGAGATATAGCTTTTTATTTTGAAGGTTCTGCAGAGATATATGTATTTACTACGTGAAAGTAGTGTCAGTGTATATTATTGCAATTATATTCTTTTAACTTTGTGTTTATACCTATACCAAATAAAATAAATATATTCATTATTATATATGTTATTAATAAATATTTGACTAACCCATTTCAAATACCTATACATTTTTTTGGGGATTGATCAAGTCAAGAATAGAAACTGCCTGACTTAAGATCGAACTTTGCCATTTGAGTCGCTTTTTCAATGTATAACTTGACTTGATTTCGAGAAATATGTTTATTTTTTCCAAATGTGTATTAAGATGCATAATTTTCAAAACAGTACAAGATATTACATTGACAACACCAACTTCTTCTCAGTACTCGATCAAGTCAAGTAGTTTGAAAATCACGTCAAGCTGTGATACTTTATTTTCTTTTACACATACACCTTTAAAAATGCGTTAATAAGGATTAATTAATGAAATACTGCTAAAGTAAAACTTGATATATTTAGTAGTATCAGTTGTATCTACATCTCATCTCTTGAATTTTAGTTACAGTACTTTGATAACTTTACAAGCTTCCTCCAAAGAAAAGGGGTCTGCCTTCCTCAATCGGGTTCTCACAGGAGACCATCTGACGTATCTGATTCTGAAAAACAAATCAAGTATTATAACTGATGTCGCAAACATATGGACCGTTATTACACAGGTTTACGTTTTCTATCAAACAGCTGGACAGTTTAATTATGTGCATTTTATATGAGCCCAAAGAAAAGCGAAAATTAACTCGAGCATACTCAACACCTGCTTGTATGTAAGGATTTTGACGTTTCTGACTAAAAGGCCTCAAAATTTGTAAAATGTCTACATGAAATGAGCAACTTGCATTGTATTTGTTTAAATGTATAGAAATAATCTATAACCTCATATAATCGTGTAGTAAAAATTTCAGAGGAATAATTAATTAGTATAGTTCAATATTTTAAAGTTGTGTTTGCTGCCACACTAATTCTTGACGTCATTTATAGTAGGATCGTATTCGATGCAAAGTAGAGCTAAAAGTTGTCGGTCTTTTATCAAAGGAAAATCGTGTCATCATTTTTAGGAGGCGTAATAAATCATTTCAAATTTAAAATGAAATTCAATGTAAAATATGAAATACCGCTGCATACGCACTGTGTTCTGATAGTAACTGTAGTTGCCCAGGTGCATCGAGTGTACGAACTGGTCGGTTATACGTCAAATACTAACCTGGCGAGCTTTGCCGTCAATTAGAGAGCGCTTCCAAAAAATGTAGTACATATGTGGAATCCAACAAATTGGATTTATAATAAATTACATTTAAAATAAATAGTTTATGAGAATAAAGGAATTTTTGTAGGAACAAGGGTGCCAGACCTGAACTGATTCCCTCGTCCCTTCATAATGTATAAAGAAATTATTCAATTTGTAAAACCCTTAAAAGCGTACTTCATTGGTTCCCTTGACAGACAATGGCCGCGTTCAGCCCAACATAGCGCAATAGCAGTATCTGCTAAGAAGTAGCATGTAGCGCTCTATCTGGCGCGGACAATCATCAACCACAATTTCATAGAACATAAATCATAGTATGGTTATCTGTGACTAACTATTGTCCTATGATCATAAAAAACAAAATTTGTTTGCTATATATGCTACATCGTTTCTTTCTAGCACAACAAAATGAATAATCTGTATTTCTAACTTAACTTTCTTACTTCTTTAAAAACTGCTTAAATTTGACATCTAGCGCTCTCTCCTCTCAAAATAGCGAAAATTAATTAAGCTACAAAACATGGCGACCGCTAGGTATAGCGCAACCTGTTAGCAGAAAATTGTGAACACAAAGCTATGCTAGCGCTACTAGCGCTAGCATAGCGCTGCATCTGGCTGAACGTGGCCAATGATTTATTACTTTGCATCGAATATGATCCTACTATAGTGCGACACAGAATCGAGAAGATTAATGAGTCTAGATACAGAATTCTCTATTATTTAGATTAAGTTCCGTCTTTTCTGCATTGGAATTGTAAATTATATGGCACACATATGGACGAGATGCAGGTTGTGTTCTCCGTCGCACTAAATGACGTAATGCGTTCTTGATCACGAAACATAATTTAAATTTTTATATGATTTTATAATTTATAGAATTACAGAAGTAAAAGAATTATATAAAATGAATGCTTTTCGAAAGGAAATTAAATTTTCATGCAACCTGGCTGTACATACTTATAATACAGATCATCTTACAAAAGTGTCAACTTTTTCACCACGGCCCACCAGATATTTGCATATTAAGATAGGAAACAACTGCTCATATGCAATTGAAGGTAATGTGGCATGTTACAATTTTTTTTCATGTCTGTATTTTATGTGCGTAGGAAGCAGTGTTAATAGAAAATAAAACAGCCACTAAGGCATCAACAACTGCTGAACAAATAGCTCTTAGTCGGACGCTTTATTTATTAACTAGTTCGTCTTGTTGTAAGATAATAAAAATACAATTATTACAATTGGCAATAGTCAAGGATTGCACAGTGGTTTCTTTTGAAAATAAAGCTTATTTGAGTTAAACAGCAATGGTCACAGCATAATATTAATCTCTTTAACTGTCTTCTATCTACTTACCATTAAAAAGTGACAAAAGGAATTTGCTGATAACTTAAAGTGTACGTCTGGACTGTTTGGTGTTCTTTTGCCAGGAACCCAACCTGTAGAAAATGTCACTTGGGCAGTAGATGTCTGAATGCAAAGCCAAGAGACCAGGAGGATGATGGTACATAACCCAGACAACCTGAAAATGGTAAATAATTCAATAGAACTTTCCAAAACTGAAGGATTATGTTAGTATTTAGTGTCGTTTCGAATCCCAAAAGTTATTACTTTGATAAATCTGTAGCAAATGAACAAATGACATGGTCTGGATAACACTGATTTGCATTAAAATAAATCATCATAATAGAAGTTACAAAAATTGTATGTCTTCATTTTCTGTTAATAGAAAAAACTTTCTTCTACAATAGGTGCAAGCACATCAGAATTTTCGTAAATTTTCTCATACTGAAGTAATGATTACTCCACAAACGAATTCTCTTCCTTAAACGGATATAATTAATCAATTTGGTTAAGTAAAAACAGTGCTCTGGTTTGTTAAAAGCAAATTATTCATTAAAAAAAACTCACCTGCTGCTTAGAACCATACTTTCTGGTACACTTAGACTGTTCTTGCCAGACTGACACTGTTAGCCCGTAAATCTCCTCTTTATATAAAACTGATCCCATTCTGAACATCTCAAACGCTCAAAGACACTTGGACTCGGGGGATTACATTGAGGATAAATAAACATAAGGATCTTTTGAGCCTTAATGCTGGATTTGTATGCATATAAAAGAAAAATGTGTCTGATGGGAGGGGGCGAGACATCTATTGGTAAAGTTCGCTTTATTCCATTCAGATTTTCGATTTGGTTGTGAAAAATTTATGCGAATTATTCATAAGTTAATTCCTTTCTCGTCACTTTTATAATTAGAAATCTTGGGTTCATAGGGCTGATGCCAGTATTTGTGTAGAAATTAGGTGTTGTAAAAACATTGATAATTGGAAGTACACATTAAATAATTAAAAAGGCTCGGATAAACAACTATCTATATATTTATGTTTTTAGAGATAAAAGGGTATTATCATTGTATAAGTAAATTACTTATACAATGGTATTATGTATGTACTTAACTATTTTGACTGTTTTAATAAATTAATCCTAAAGTCGTATACTTTTAATATGTGGATACAGTGGCGGTTTTACCATAAGAGCTGCGGAGCTGCAGAACACATAAAATTTTATGTATTTAATCATATTAAATATCAACAAAATATTTAAAGAATCCAAATGTACTCGCGCTAAAATAAATCTAGGAGCTTATATTATTATTTATTGTGACGCGAACTACGCTCCTTAATATATGCAACCTCATATACACAATGTGTGGACAGCGAACAATTATATGCGTCCTTTGTTTTTATTGGCTGATCAGGCACGTGACCCAGTACACGGAGATAGGGGCTTTTGCGGCTGCAATAGTGACAGCCACTGCGCTGCAGTATGCAGTAAATGCAGTAATATTTCGTACGTGGTATGTGGTGGTTTATTTCTGCGAGCGGCATGTGTGAATATTTTCGTTTAGGCGTCTACGGATATTATAGTTATTAAAATGAATAGCGTTTCGTTTTAAAAAAAAACTTTATTTGGTTCTCTGCCTGATGAGGATAAACTAAAAATAAAAGAAGTAAAAGTTATAAAAAAACAATAATGTATACACAAAAGCAGAGTGGGTGTGCGGGTGTGATTTAAAATATTCACTGTTTTGTTTTCCGTGCTTACATTTCGGTGGGGATAAAGCATGGACAATATACAGTGTGAAAGATTTAAGTCATTAAGTCTTTAGGTAAAATAAACATAAGAAGTCAGTTAGATTCTGCATATTGGGATAATATACGGAAACATATGAACAGGTAATGAAAAATAGTCATGTATTATTTAAAATCATAGATTGCATAAAATTTTGCGGAGCTTTCGAATTAGCACTTCTCGGACACGACGAGACAGGACATTCGGACAACCCTGATGTGTTTCGTGGACTCATAAATTTTGGTGTAGATCTTGACGACATTTTAAAAGAACATCTAGCCACATTGGTATGACCGGGATTTTCTGTGATTGTACCGGGAATCAGCTGTATGGTCCCGGATTTCGGATTTGCACGTATAACTCCCGGAATATAATATAATGTATATATATAAAAAGATAAAGAAAAAATCATAACACGCCGAGGAAAATTAAAATTCGTTGAATCGTTGGTAAATTTCACAAACGGTTTTTTTTGATAAACAATATTCAATAATTTAATAAAATATATTTAGTTTATTCCAATTTATTATACCATCAGTAGGTAATTCGTAAATGGATATTTCAAAAAGGTATCAATTTCAAAAATCATTCTTGTGAAAATCTGTATTTTTTTTATAAATTCATTGTTCCTTGAAATTCAGAAGTGCCAGGAAAACGCGTGACCTTGAAAATTTTAAAATTTTTCGCCTGCGGCGCCATTTAGAGACTCCGGGCACTTAATATCCCGGAATTCAATTCAACAAATGTAACAACCCTAAGCAGAACACATTCAATCAATGTTCACGCGGCGCCACTGTGTGGATATTCTTAGAGATAGAGACGGACTCTGTTTTCCAGAAAAGTTGAGGCGAAATTCGCATCGCCATCTCTTGATTGATAAAAGAGATACAAAGCGTTTGTCATTTTTGAACAAACATTTTTTTGAGAAAATGTTTGCTTGAATACAAGTTTTTGTAAGAAATTAGTTTTTTTATAAGCGATTATATTTTTTTCGATATTTGTCTATAATTTCCGGTATTTCAGTTATTATCTAAACATATTTTTTAAACTTAAGGCCCTATATACAATAAACATATACATATATTTCGATTTTTGCGACCTGTCTAAAATTTGAAATGATATACCATATATAATATTTACACAATTTTTTTCAAGATATCTACCATTTCATGATACTATTCAGTGAGCTATGTATTTTCTTCATCAAGATGTTCATTACATTCATGACACACTCATCTGTATCAAGAAACGTCTGACGGAAGAAAGTCATTTTTACATAAACGTATGATACATCTTAAAAAAAAATTCACGCAGTTTTCAAGAGTCATCTACAAAATGTTAATATCACATTAAATACTTGTATATTTGTATGTAGTAGAGATACAGTCATCACAATCACACAACAATCACCCTAGCGCTATTTCCAGAATTTCCCCCCCTTCCTTCAACATTTGTTTTCCTACCACCTTTGTGAAAACAGATCTAGGTCTTCTAAAGTGAATAGAGTTTTTATCAAATATTACGGTATTCCAGAATTTCGCTGAAGAAGTCTGGTCTAACATAAGAAACTGGACGATTAAGATAAGCATCAGCATATACAGGCTGTCCCAGTGTGAGCTTAAGAAAAATTTACCAGAGAGTAGACCAGACCAAAATATTTTTCTGCAATGCACTGTCACTGAGTTACAGGGTGTTGTTTAGAAAAAATAATAACAACTTTTCGCAATAACTCAAAAACCCTCTACAATCAATTCTGAACAAAAAATGTGCTCTTGTTTCATATCTCAAAAAAAAAACGAGTAAATTGTGTCAAAAGTGCATTAATTTGTAGAAAAATTATTATTATTATTGTTATTACAAAACAATAAGATATTAAGTATAATGGAATTTTCCAACAACGAGTATGCCGGTTTGATATTTGTCTACGGTTTCTGTGATGGAAATTCATTGGCGGTCTCACGAGAATATCTAGGTAGGTTTCGAAACAGAAGACAACCTTTACGGTATTTCAACGAGTTTTCCAACGAGTCCGTGGGACCGGGAGTGTTAAAATTGGAAATACCAAAATAAAAGGTAATTTGGAAGGTGCAAACATTTTAGAACAACATGTACTAGCTTCATTATTTAGACTCAATTTACTCGAAAACGGTTCATTTTTGAGCTATGAAAGAAAGGCACATTTTTTGTTCAGAATTGATTGGAGATTCAGAAACACTTAATCAAATTACATAAAATTAGGATAGGCAAAAGTTATGAATATATAACCTTGAGGACAAGTGGGCCTAGGCCGCCCCTGGCATCAGATCGAAAGGATCATGTGATGAATGATGTTTAATAGTTGTACACTTAAAAATTACTTAAATCCCTGAAATCCTTTCAGGGAAAGGGTTTTTGAGTTATTGCGGAAAGTTGTTATTTTTTTTATAACAACAACCTGCAACTCAGTGAGAGTCTGGTCTACTCCCTGGTGATTTTTGTACGCTCACACTGGGGCACCCTGTATATCCACTGTCAAGTCTATTACCATTTTAACATCCATACATAAGGCATATTTGCCATTTCTGCATTGGAGTATAGAGTACAATGACTACAATGGCATTACTTATGTATTATCAAATTACAACACAAGCAAACAATGAAAATCAAAGTGCACCTGACCTTTGACTCTAAAAATGAATTTATTTAAACAGAAAATAAACGTATTTTTACTGAAAACCCCAACATACTGTTTTATAAAAACTTACGATAAAGAATTAACTCGTAATTTTGTACAATTTTTAGGATCACATATTAAACCAAAAAATCTAATTTTGTGTTGTGCATACCGTTAAAAGAATTTTAAGATCACATTTTGCAATTTTCCTATTGAGTAGAATAATTTTTTAATTTACCCTGCTCCTTCAGAGAATGCTACTCTCTTTTTTTAACGCCCTGTGTTATTAGATGAAAATGTAATAGGAATAAATTCTTATTCAGAGTAGTCTTAAAATGACCTCCTAAGGTTTCAGGATGGACAGTACATTAGAACTGTATTTTTATTTGATATTTTAAAAATCTTTGTAGATATTTTATCATATTTTTAATTAATTTAATTTTGATAACGTCAGGAAGCTAATTTAAGCCGTACCTGTTATTTAAATCAAGTGTTTTGTGTGAAGGGTAGTTTTAGATAATAACTGTTACTATTTCGTTATATTTCTTATTTTTAAGATATTCCAAAACGTTTTATTAAATGTATATTTAGGAGAGTATACTTTAGCTTTAGACAAATACTTTAATCGTTTTATTGCTTGATTAAACTTAAAATTTGCCAAAACAATTTATGTTTTGTTGTTTTAAAATATTTTCTTGAACATGATCTCCGTTTTTCTTCAATCGATTACCTATTAATCTTTTTGTGTTGCAAAAACAGACTTATTATGACTCTATTATAAAGGAACAGGTGTAAAGCTAATTCAAACAAATTCAAAAAATTTGTTTTGTTTGTTGGTTTTTTTTTTAAATTCTATCAAATAAAGTTAGACAATGTTTTTGATACTAAAAATTTAATATATATACACAAAAATATCTAAATCACAGACAAAATACCTAACCGTTGACATTTCGAAAACAACTATTATATGGATTATATATGCCCTAATTATATCGAATTATTAATACAGGGTGTTCTACAAACTCTGTGACAGATGGTACCTGGGTCAATTTCAAACATGTTTTCTTATATGAACATAGGTTCAATTCGTTTTTGTTTAGAAGCATTTTAAAAAATGTAATTTCATATTTCAATCAAAGTAGCCTCATAAAAATGATAGACAAAGTTTGTTAAAGAGTTTGTAGAACACCCTGTATAGGAGAATATATGAGATAATAATGTAATCTTTCAAATGTAATAATGTAACCGTTGTTATTCTAACATCACCCTACAAAGACCAGCAAATGAAAAGAGCCACTATAAAAAAATCTTACCATTTCCAGATTTTATTTAAGGCTGTTTCTTCAGGTAACCTCCTTGTGGATGGAATTAATGAATATGAATAGATCGAAATTATATATAAAAAATACAAAACCAAGTGGTACAATTGAAATAATACAATTTTGAAACGAGATAGTTAGATCTTTCTCTAATGGCTATTTTTACATGACACAGATGTGAATTAGAACAGTAAAAATACAAGATATTTTTTGAAATATTGCGTTATTTACTATATTTAGTGCTGTGTAGCTGTGTAGCTGTGCATGTAGCACAAAACTGGCTGCTTTCCACAATACTGAGAATTAGGATTTTTTTAAATTTATTCAGATTGGCTCAACACCTTTATAATAAAGTAAAAATGTCAGAGTTGTTAATACTAGTTTCAACTAAAAAATATTTATTAAACAAATTCAAACCTGCCACCAAATTTATAAAATGTTTCCTTACTAAAATAATAAATAAATAATATCAATTAAAACGCCTCCTTTTGTTATATTAAAGAATGATCATATGAAATAAATACACAATTTAAACGACTTTTAGTTTTTATTAAATTCTTATATTTAGATTATTTGAAACATGTAGAATTTCCCCGTTCCAATGCCTCCACTTCATAGTTTTCCGCTGAAGAATGGTCCAACTTCTTCTACAGGATTATCGCATGACACCATTTGCCGAATTTGATTCTGAAAAACATAGAGTTAAAAGGTAAATATGTTTTTGAGACTATGTTGCTGAACCTATGTTGTTAAAAAAAGTATCCTTACCATCATGATGTGGCATATTGAATTCGTGGATACCTTATAATGCAGGTCTGAAGTGTCTAAGGTTCGTTTGCCAGGACCCGTCCAGTTCCTGGAAAAGGTCAGTTGTGCCACGGACTCCTCAAAGCACAGCCATTCCAGCAACAGCAAAATTATACCGATGGTGTACAGTCCTATTTTCCTAAAGAAATGGCAGGTATATTGAAGCTCTTACTCATTGTTATATAAAGCTAGTAATATTTGTAAAGAAACAAAATGTTACAAATCTAAATTTTTCGACACAATCATGTGACTTCATTGATGTTTATACAAGAAGCCTACATAGAACTTACTTGTTGGTGAAAAACATATCTATGATGTTACCAGGGTCGCTGTTAGAGTAATATTAGGTCCCTGTCGAGTTGATCCTGCTCTTTATATGACTCGTCCGTTCAAAAGTTGAAAGAAGGAATTATCTGGGGATGTTTTCCCAAACAGACAAGCAAATGTAAGCTTTCTTTGATTTCTAATATCTGAGGATTTACATTTTCGCATATAAATACGGAATATAAATGGAAAAACTTCGAGCTTTGTTGACAACGAAACGCCGACACATTCATGTTTGTTTATTCCATTCCGTATTCTTGCGCCTCTATAAATAACTGTAGGTATTTCTCAGATGTGAATGGTGCGTACAAAAATTATTTTAATGGCGTTCCACTTTTTTTATATAAATGGTTTCGAAAAATAACAGTACAAATATTTTTTCAGAATTATGTAGGTACTCAATCAAATTCAAAGTAGAGAACATGAGCAAATACGCTTATGTTTAACTTTTACCATTACAAAGGCAAATATTAAGTAAATACAGAAAAAGGATCTTCAGAATTATTGTTTACTCATATAATGACCATGAAAATTTTACTACCGAAATATCTGGATCAGTAAACTAAGGTTGGAATTTATTATTGTTGTCAATCAAATACAGCACCACTCTAGAAGTAACATGACTTTTTTATAAGCACCAATAACAACTTACTTTTACATAATATATGTATATTTTTTTTTGTTATTATTTTTCAAGCTACTGTATACACTGTAAAATAAAATCGGTGTGAGTGAAAGCAATAAAGGTTCGGCGTCAATCCATTGAGTGAAATTTTTGAGTACATTTTCACTCCATTTTCACTCAATATTGGGCATTTTGATCATTTTACTTATTTGCGATTATATTTAAACTAAGACTGAGTACTTTCACTCAAATATATGTACTCCTTAAATAAATTCTTCACGTAAACTCGTATTTGGTGCACTTGTACCTAAATCAGAGTAAATGTCCTCATCGTGAAGATGGCACCACTTACATATTGCTTTTGTAATCTCGACCACAGTTGATAGGGGTCCGTTAGATGCTCGAGAAAAGCGTGATCGACAAGAGAACAAGCCTTAGCCGACGGCGACGGGTCTCAGCTGGCAGGTCTCAGCCAGGACAGGAAGAGGCTCTGCGAAGGGCGCGAACTGAATTAATTTCAACACTATATATCCTAATTAATAATTTATAAGTGATTTATTTTTGCACTCAATATTTAGTATTAAATTAAAAACCAAGTCTTTGTAAAAAAATGACTCAATAATAGTAAATTTAAATCATATTAGAGAAAAAGTCAACTCTAAATTGATTTTATATACTCAGAATAGAATCAAAAGTCGCTCAATTGATAGTTAGCAGTAACTCGGATCTGAGTAAAACGCACTCATTTCTGATGCAATTAGCCCAGTCATTATTATAGACATGAAAGAGCCTGTTTCGGGAAAAAAAAATACTATTAGAAGTTTCTCTGCGGAATATTGTTCGGAAACCATAGTGAAAAAAAGTTTATACAAAAAAGGTAGGTATTAAATAAGCCTATAAAATGAGAAAAGTCCGATTAAATTCCGATACTTTGTTTATGCACAAGAGCTCAAAAATGGTCGAAAATTGCCGTTTTTTTCAATTGCTAATAATTAATGCAATTTTCATCGCAGACACTTATAATTCAGGATTTTTGAGGCTTTTTACACCCTTAATAAGTGGTAAAAATTTCAGCCCGAAAGCTTCATTGGTATGACGTTGGCGGAATTTGTTATCTAAGAAGATGCTATTTTCAATTAATTTTTCCCAAGCTCACAGGCGTTATAGGGTTTCGATCATTAGTTTTTGTACCTAAATAGTTGTATTGACATATGCATTTACTGAGAATTTAGTTTTTCAAATTTAATATGTTTAAAAATTACTTTGAAAAAATGTTAACATTTATTAAATTGTTAAGATAGGTAATTATTATAAAATGAAATAGTAACCTGTATACTTTAGTTTTCTTCGAATTAAAAAAAATCGTTGTTGTAAGTTGATTAGAAGCTGAGATATATTTTTTTTTTCATTTAATCAAAGTGACCTTAGTTATTAATATTAAGAGCCGAAATTTGGAGAGAGTATATATTAAGAGCTATATTTCCATGTTCTACATTAACATTAAGGTGAATTCAACTATTTAATTGCGAAAAAGAAGATAGCGGCGATGCGTTCTATTACTTGGTCTAGCGAACGAGTGGGGAGAGCGAGGCGGAGCATGCGCACTTAACAATTTAATAAATATTAACATTTTTTCAGTCATTTTTAAAGAAATTAAATTTGAAAAAATAAATTGTCAGTAAATGCATATGTGAATACAACTATTTAGGTACAAAAACAACTAATGATCGAAACCCTACAACGCCTGTGAGCTTGGGAAAAATGAATTGAAAATAGCATCTTCTTAGATAACAAATTACGCCAACGCCAAGCTAATGAAGCTTTTGGGCTGAAATTTTTACCACTTATTAAGGGTGTAAAAAGCCTCAAATATCCTGTTTACAATTACAAGTGTTTGCGATGAAAATTGCATTAATTATCAGCAATTGAAAAAAGGGGACAATTCCGACCATTTTTGAGCTTTTGCGCATAAACAAATTGTCAGAATTTAATCGGACTTGTCTTATTTTACTGATTTATTTAATACCTATTTTTTTTTGTATAAACCTTTTTTCTCTATGAATAACAGTTTTTTTACGCGAGTCAAAAAACCACTTTTCTATAATTTTGACCATTGTTTTAACAAAGTTTCCCAACTAGTCTCGAGTTGATTTTTTGATATTTTGTTTATAACACGTTTCTGAACAATATTCCGCCGAGAAACTTCTAATAGTATTTTTTCCCAAAAAAAAAAACGCTATAATGACTGGCCTAAATAGTTTCACTCAGTTGTACTCATACTAATAAAGTGAAGATTTCGCTCAATCGGGTGTGGACAGAAATTGATACATTATTGAGTAAAATTGAGTGAAATTTGCGTAAAGTTTTTTTACATTGAACAGACTTAAGTAGGTACCGGGAAAAATTATTTTTTGTTGCATTATGTTACATCAGAAAATCAATAAATAGAGTTTTAATATTTAGTTCTTTACCAGAGGAGTTTTCATTAAACATATTTACTATTTGAAAATCTTCATTCAATAAAATGTCATATTATAAATGTGTCCAAATTTACTTAGATATTTCAATGTTTTATGAATTTATCTGTTCAAACTGAATACTTAGGCGTCTTTGAAAATACTTAGATACTTAACATCGTAATAAATTATTAATTATTACTTATTATAATATGTACTAACCGGTTGCAAGTTAATATAGAGGGTGTTTCATTAACAATGAGGCACAGCGTAATGGGGGTTTATTGAGGTCAACATATCCACAGTGAGTCAAAAAATGTTCTAAAACCATTGCCTATGAACTTATATCGACAATTTGAACAAACTTGTATAAAAAATGCATCATTTTAAGTAAACATGAGAAAAATGCAGCCCAAGAAGTAAAACAAATTTTTAATCCCACTGATTGTTAAATTATGCCTAACATTAATTGATTTAGAATTTTAGAATTTAGATTTTAGAATCTTGGAAATAGTTTTACTCCAATAGAAATAGGATAAATTCGAAAAATCAATCTAGATAGTTAGCAACTACGAGACACAAATAATGGTTCATTCCTATCTCTGCTTTATAAGCAAAATGGCCCTGTATGTCCAAAAATATTCGGTGGTAATACTGTTCTGATCACCAACGAAACATATTGCTTATTTATCGGTCCATATCTAAGAAGGAATCACTTCCCATAACTTCTGCAGTGTGTACCCCTCCTTAACGCTTTCCACGGCCAAACCGAGCTCCGGAGAGTACACTGGCAACCTACTCTTGTGCCCTTCCTCAGCCAGATAGGCCGCTATCGTATTGGACATCTCCCCTTGGGGTTCTTCAATCGCGTCATAGTCCTCCACCAGATTGTTATTCTGCTCCAGATCGTTTTTGTTGGAGGACCAGTTGAACTCCACTCCGAAAATGGGCTTGGTGCTGTACACGGTGTGTAAGGATGTGAGTTCTTTGTAGAGCTGTCTTAGCCTTTCTTCGGGATCCACTTTGAAGCCTAGGACGTAGCCGCCGCTCATCTCCGTGCTGATGATCACCAGGGCTGTTCCGAACTTGGAGTCTCTGATAGAAACCTGAAAAACAAAAAACCTCATCAATTTTATAAAATTCAAGATGGCGGATTCAAGATGGCCGACCAAATTTTCAAAAAATAACACATTCTAGCCAAATTTGGTATACGGAGGTTTTCTGGGTCACTGATCACTAATCCGAGATCGGATTTACAAAATACGTTTTTAAACATTTTATCAATTAACCATGGACTTTATTACCTGAGATTCAGCAGAAAAACCGTGACTAGATCTTTTACCGAAAAAAGAACAAGATATGGCCGAAAAAAGAAGGTTAAAACATGGTTGGGTACTCACTACTCAGGTTATAAAGTAAACAAAAATATTACAAAATGAATTTGGGGCTTCCCGTTATTCGATAAAAATATCGATATCGTATCGATATTGTATCGATTTTCGATACGATATCGATACAATACTCTCTTTGACAATATTTTTAAGAGTACGATATTAACTTTTAAAATATTGACGATAATTATTGTATCGTCAATAATGTGTTGTTAATAATATCGAATAATATTGATTTCGACAAAAGCGCGAATCGCACAAAATAAATATATAAAACAATATCTATAAAAAAGAAAATACATATTTGTAAACAAATTCTCGTCACTAATATACTTAACAAAGAATGCCGCACTCACAGCCAACGCACCGCATCGTGAGGTTATCTTCTTTTCTCTCTCTCTCTTCTTCCTATTCACAACAATGGTATATGTCACAGAGCGCCGTATACGTAATTCGGCTAATTTGAAAAAATCATTCGCGTGCGCCACCTTTACAATTGCATAACTAATCAATCTTTTATATCTCATTTCACAACGATTTTAATCTTTTAACACTTAAGTTTTTTGTTCTTGTCTCCATAAAATATTTTATAGATATTTTTACTTTTTTCCGAGTTTTTCATATTATATCTTAGCTTATATGTTCATTCAAATTAAGTAAATAAATTAATATAAATGTTATACTTTCGAATTTGGTATAATTTTAACATTTTTTACGTAAAAAATTCAAATTTAGTGCAATTTTTCTAGTACAAAAATAAATTTCAACTATTTTATATCAATAAATATTGAATATTGTATCGATATCGTATTGAAATCAAAATCGATACGATAATATTACAAAAATAATATTGTCGATATCAATACAAGACAATATTCAATCATGATTCAATACGATATCGATAATTTACAAAAATATCGGTATCGTATCGCATCGGAAAGCCCTAAATGAATTTCGCAATTCTGACCTCAATTTCATATCAGCGATCCCGAAAACCCCCGTATACCAAATTTGATGCGAATGTGTTATTTTTTGAAAATTTGGTATTCCATCTTGGATCCGCCATCTTGAATTTTGCAAGATTGACCTCGGTCCGTGATCAGCAACCCCAAAAACTCCCGTATACCAAATTTGGCTCGAATGTTATTTTTTGAAAATTTGTTCGGCTATCTTGGATCCGCCAATTTGAATTTTGCAAAATTGACCTCGGATCCGTGATCAGCGACCCCGAAAACTCCCGTATTTCAAATTTGGCGCGAATCTGTTATTTTTTGAAAATTCGTGATATCTGACTTTAATTGACCCGTTTTATTAAACAAATAAGCTTTCATTCCTTCAGATAGAAGATTTTTTTCAGATCTCTAGTTAAATATTTAGCTCCATCTTTTGGTAAACTTAGGTTGTGAATGTTTTTTTTTTATCCCACCGTATACATATCACCTTCGTTATCCATTTCACTGTCATCATCTCCCTCTTCGTATTCCTTGTAGTGTCCAGATTCGTGTTCAGTGGGTTCTAAATTATGGAGGTAGAGTTATGGAATGCAATATACTGACCAGCTTCTCCCACGACATTACAATCATACAATCATCAAACTCATTCGCAAGTGGGAATTGTTTTGAGAATTTGGAGGACATTGACTTAAGATTCGTAACGTAACAATACAGGATCTGATCAAAAGAATAGACCACTCATTTGTTTCGTGTGCCTATGTTACTGATAAAAATTAATTTTGCACTTTCTACTCACTCCATCAATATGGAGATACGGCAGCGACACGTTGAAGGCTTCATTGACGTCTGCAAACCACACGACTCTTACATTGGTGATAATGAACGTTCCAAGACTTCCTTGGTCACTGGAAAGATTCCAAACACCATGAACTGTGGAAAAAACTTGTTCCAATGAAAGCATTTTCAGCTGCTTGTTGTGAACGACAGCGCCCCTCAGTCTCAGTTCCCTGTACAGTTTCGAGGAGTTGTAAGCTCTGCAAGTGACGCGTAGAGGATTTTTAAAATATAGCTTTTATTTTTGATAACCTTCTATCTTACTTGTGGACGCCCATGACTGATGTGAAATGCCGCATGTTACCAGGGACCAGGTTTGTGAAGAGAAATTCGTAACGTGTACCTTCAGATGTGGTGAGCATTTGCAGGGCTTGGGTAGTCCCTTTCAGCTTCTGAAATTGTAATAAATGTAACATTACTAAAAATTATTTAAAAAATTGTAATATCGAAATAAAATATTAAAAAATATTGCTAATTTTTACATCTGTTTCTATTCCATAATATATGTATGTTAAAGCTGACACACATGTCTTAAAATTTTCCTGCACTTTTGAATACATTTCCCAAACATGATGAAAACTAGTTTATCCGTTAATTTAAGATATGCAGTGTTCATGAAACTCCTTATGACTTTGAGCTACTACTGAGAAAAATACGACAAAATAGTCTCGAGAAGGCTTAGGTTATAAAATCAATAGTGTCGATGAACACAGATTAGAAAACATCAAATTTGAGACACATAAGCAAAGAAATATTGTAAATACAAAAATATAAACCTTATTCAGTGTTATTCACTGAATGTTCTACCTCTTTACCTTTTTTGCTTTCATTACGAGAAAATGAACAAAGTTCTAGGGCTTCTATTACCTTTTTGGAACAAACACATTACGTAGAGTACCCACGAAATTCTGTATAATTATAGGCCTAAGAAACTGTTAATAATAGAATATAAAAATTCTACAAGCCAATTAATTAATAAAAAAAGAACAAGTTTGGTTTACCATCTATGTCTATATTTGTCTATTACAATAATAGTCCAGTCAAATTAGAGTTTGAACGTAAAAAAAATATTATTATACAGGGTGTCCCAAAAGTGACGCCCGTCCTTATGGGTTTTGATTAAGGGGACAAAAACAAATCGAAAATCAAGAGTGGAAAATTTTCCGATTGTTTTTCTTTGCCAAGTTATTCAAAAAATTATTCAAAAAAACTAAAAATAAACATTTGGGCTGGGTTATTAAATATTCATGTAGTTCAAAGCTGTATTTGCTGCAGCTGTATGCTTTTAAATGGAAACTTACCATTGCCATTGCTGCATGACGTTCCGTTAGCAGTTAGACTAAATTATTGGTTTCAACATGATGCAGCTCCATCACATTATGGTTTACGAAAATGAAATTATCTGAATCAAAACTTTCGAGAGAGATGGATTGGAAGAGGTGGACCATGGCCTCCTGGATCACCAGATCTGAATCCCCTAGATTTTCCTTTTGGGGTTATTTAAAAGAAAAGATTAATAGTCCGTATATACGCTGCTGTCACGTTAATAGACCAAGAGATGCTACAAAGAGTTCATGCTTCAATGTTGAATCGTGATAATCTTTGTCTTGAAGTAAAAGGCAACTTATTTGAACACCATTTGTAAAAACAATGTCTATTATTTAAGGACATTATGGTTTTAGTTTATGTTTTATTATTAAAATGTTTTTCTCTATCCTTTTCAGGTTAAAATGATTCCTTATACCCAGGTACAACCGACAATCGAAAACTATACTTATCTACTATTGGTTATAAATTATGTCTTAGTTCCCATAACCATAGACCTCAGTTTTGAGAAAAAAAAAATGGATTTTCACTTTTTTACTTTTTTGAATTTTTGAAGGAAAATCATCGGAAAATTTTCCACTCTTGATTTTCAATTCATTTTTGTCTCCTTAATCAAATCCTAGAAGGACGGGCGTCACTTTTGGGACACTCTTATATACATATTATTGCATGGAAGAGTATGTAGAATGATAATATCAAGAAACTAACTCGAACGAAGTAACCCTAAGTTGGCAAATTGTAAATAAGTGGCAAAATTAGGTGTCTTTTCACTTTTTTAACCGCCCATGAAAATCTAGGCGACCCGTCGGAACAATAGTTATTCTATGTTGTAGGCAATTACCTACAATTTAAGGTACCTAAAGTCATATTTCTTCAATTAGATGTTGATGAAATGTATGGAAAAGATGGTCAATCCAATGGTCAACATCATAATAATAATATATTTTTTTCATAAGACTTTGTTCATACAAACTATCGAAAATTGTCTAAAGTATATAACACACAAATAAAAAAAGAGATAATAATTGTATAAGGACAAACTACGAAATATGGACCAATTTGATCAAACATCCATCGCTTTTTGCAATAATAATGCACAATTTTCGCCAACTAATTTTTCCGCGTTCGGACTTTATTTTACAGTTAACAAATTGGTGAAATATGAATTTGGGTACCTTAAATTATAGGTAACTTAATTGCATACAACATGAAATAACTAATTTTCCGGTAGATAGTCTAAGTTTTCATGGACAGTAAAAAAGTGAAAAAACAACGTAATTTTGTCACTTATTTGAAATTTGCCATCTTAGCGTCACTTTTTTCGAATCATTTTTTTTATATTGTCAGTCTATATTCGTTTCACCGTCATAATGTGCAATAAAATGATATCTACTAATAATTTTTAAAATTTTCAGGGTTTATGATATATTTCAACTAGACTATAAATTGATTGTTTTTTTCTAAAAATTGCTAAGAATCGTTAGAATGTACAGAAACTCAGCCCTATTTTCCATAGATATAGAAACAAAGTTGTTTTAATATCAATATATTGTTTAATACTTAAAATTTTACCAACTCATTTTTATAGGAATTCTTTCCTTATTGAGATGAGTTCTATTACCAGATATTTGAAATATGTTTTTTGATCTATACAATTCATGGCAACGATACTGTTTTAATTTTTTAACAGTGTAATTTATCCTTAAATCTGTGTAACAATTTTCATGGGCGAAAGGATACTTACCGAATTAACTGTTTTAGTATTAATAGATATTATAGATCCAAATCCGATAGCTGCAAACAATACCAATGTCATTAATTGTTATGAGAAACTTATTTCTGTTTATAAATAAATAAAATCCTTACATAAATTTACTCTAGGACTTGTTACCGAATGCCACAGAATCCTGATATTTGTAACTATCAATCTGCCCCTGTCCCCACCGTTTCCCTTCGTATCCTCGATGTTCTCCATTCTGTCTATAACTTTTTCTCCCAAAATTAACCGCATATCCCTAGAATAAAAGCACCTTTATTCCTATACAAAATTATTTTCCTTGACATATTTCCACTTACGAATACGGTATGTCGAACCTGACTTCTTTGTCTTCCCAAGACAATGTCATGTTGTAGCCGTTAAAAATTTTAAAATGTTCAATTCGAAGAAAATTGAGCACAGTCCTTTATATGGTTTCCGTGAGAAATGAAGTGTGTTGGTAGCAACGAAATATGTCGTTCTCTAGACAACGGCTAAACCAAAACAAGTTACTAAATCAATAAAGAAATCATGAATATATTCCTTTACAAATATTGTTTGTTCCACCTGTTCCCTAGATAGGATACATTAATGTATATACAGGGTGTCCCGTAAAGTATGTTACAAACTTTGGGTGGTGATAGTACATAAAAAAATATGACTAAAAACTCTAATAAACATAACCTCTTAAACGCACCGTTTTGAAGTTATAGGCCTTAAAAGGTGCAACTACAAAAGTAGTTTTTGTGACGTAACTCTTTGTTGGAAAAAGAAAACATAATGAAATTTTCAGGGACTAGTCAGCTTTAGGAAGCCAATAAATAATGTGGATATTAATAAAATTGAGAAAGCGGAAGGGTGTTTTTTTATCACCCTGTATCCTATTTTTTGCCAAAAAAAATTTTTCTGCAAAGATACAGCAAATATCATAAGATTTTTAGAAAGACCATTGAATTTAGAAATTTTTTTGTCTCTTGCATTTTTTATGTAAAATGATTAGTTTTCTAATAAATTTACAAAATGCAAAGGGAGTTTACTCACCGCTAGGTGTTAAATTTGACGTATTCAAAAAGTAGGCGCCTGTCACTTTTAACATAGTTGACATTTGTTACCATATTTTAATCGTGTCTGTTGACGAATTATTAATTTGTGAGTACAATGGCGGATAACAATCGTTTTACTAATCAAGAATATGCCGAAATGCATTTTATTTATGGATTATGTAATGGAAATGCAACAGCTGCTCGAAGAACATACATAGAACGTTATCCGCAGAGACGTCAGCCGTCTACACAATTATTTACTCGGATTCACAGACGGATTATTGAAACTGGTAGTGTGGTACCCCGTTACATACATTGTGGTAGAATTGCTAGAAGACTACCCGCGCAAGATGAACAAATTTTGAGATCTTTTGAACAAAATCCGGGAGAAAGTGTGCGAAGGGCAGCTAATCAGTTACAGCTTTCCAGAATGTCAGTTTGGCGTGTTTTGAAGGAAAACGGCCTTTATGCCTACCATCTCCAAAAAGTGCAACATTTAATGCCTGAAGATCTTCCCCGACGCCTAGAATTCTGCCGAATAATACTTAACCATCACCAACATAATGTAGAATTTATTAGCTCTATTTTATTTACCGATGAAGCCACCTTTACACGAGATGGTTTACTGAACTTGCACAATGCACATGCATGGTCAGACGAAAATCCTCATGCTAACATTGATAGTCATCACCAATACCGATTCTCAGTCAACATATGGGCTGGAATAATAGGTGACTATTTGCTCGGGCCTTTCTTTCTACCTCAAAGGCTTGATGCAGTAGAATATTTAAACTTCCTAGAAAACCATCTCCCTGAGTTAATGGAAAATGTTCCTTTAAATTTGAGACAATACATGTGGTACCTCCATGACGGGGCACCTGCGCATTTCAGTGTTCATGTTAGAGAGTATCTACATATGCGGTTTCCTAATCGATGGATTGGAAGAGGATATAATGCACCAATAGCCTGGCCACCGCGATCACCGGACTTGAATCCTGTCGATTTTTATCTTTGGGGACACGCGAAATCTCAAGTTTATGCAACCCCTGTTGATACAGAAGATCAACTTAGACTGCGAATTGTAGAAACCTTTAATTTAATAAGAAATAGTCTATTCATATTCCAAAGAGTCAGATTTAACTTTATAAAGAGACTGACAGCATGTATCAATGCAGAAGGAGGTCAATTTCAACATTTATTATAATAACATATTTTGTTTTAGTTTTGTTTTTGTTACTTAATTAAAAAAATTATTTTGGAAATTGATTGTATTCTTAAAAATTCACTAGGCTTAAGAAATGTATGTAAATAATTCGGAAGCACTCATCTCTCTGCATTTTGTAAATTTACTAGAAAACTAAACATTTTACATAAAAAACACAAGAGACAAAAAAATTTCTAAATTCAATGGTCTTTCTAAAAATGATATTTGCTGTATCTTTGCAGAAAAATTTTTGTTGTCAAAAAATAGGATACAGGGTGATAAAAAAACACCCTTCTGCTTTCTCGATTTTATTCATATCCGTATTATTTATTGATTTCCTAAAGCTGATTAGCCCCTGAAAATTTCATTAAGTTTTCTTTTTCCAACAAAGAGTTACGTCACAAAAACTACTTTTGTAGTTGCACCTTTTAAGGCCTATAATAACTTCAAAACGGTGCGTTTAAGAGGTTATGTTTATTAGAGTTTTTAGTCATATTTTTTATGTACTATCACCACCCAAAGTTTGTAACATACTTTACGGCACACCCTGTATACATATACTGATCCTTAAATTAACAAAAAAAAAAACAAATTAAAAGGAAAACCGTAACGGATGTTACTTAAATGCTTGACGCCTTGAATTAAAAAAGTTCTATAGACGTCTGGAAATTTTTCGATTATGAAATACAGAGTGTTAAACCGGAAGTAGACTTAGTTAGCTTCCTGCTTGATTGTTCCAATCTGCTTTAAATTTAACCAATATTATGATACCTATACTACGAAAACATGCTACCACATTTAGCTTGGAAAAGATGCTATCTAAAATTGTACTTGGAAAACATGCTACCTCAAATTAAGCTTAGAAAATATGCTAGCACAGATCTTTAAGTAAAAACATGCTATTTCACACAAAAGTAAGTTTGATAATAATTTGTTATTTCGAAATACGTCGAGTAATATACGTGTTACGCATACTGCATATTATTCTATTTTTTAATTAACAATTTTGTCGTTTACCTATAACAGTAACTTAACAAAATTAATTGAAACATCTTGAATGAAAAAATAAAATAAACAGTGTAAATATTCCTTACTTTTTGAAAAATATATTGTATACATTTATTATAAGTGTACGGTTTCAATCATTCATTGTGCATTTCAACACCAATGCAGCCAACTTAAATTTCTATTCAAACCTACTTTTGTGTGAGATAGCATGTTTTTACTTAAAGATCTCTGCTAGCATGTTTTCTAAGCTTAATTTAAGGTAGCATGTTTTCTAACTACAATTTTAGCTAGCATGTTTTCCAACCTAAATTTGAGATAGCATGTTTTTGTAGTAACGCGTCGTTGTAATCTATAGTAATACAATCGAGACTATTCTTAATATATCAACTGCACCATACTTCACTGAAATGTTAAGACACCTGAGACATCTATGATCTATTTTAATAACGAGGTAGTCAGTGACTGCGATAAACTTAACTAACATTATTTTTGTATGACCCTTCACTTTTTAATTAAATTATTAGTAGGTATTTATTAAATTTCCATCGACCCTAATAATTTGGCTTTGCTTTGTTAATCAATATCTTTACGTCCGCAAATACTTCACGAACTCAATTACTTCACATCCGCTTCCACTTCATTCGTATTGTACTTGTTGTAACGAACGTGAAGTAATTGAACTGCCTATTGTTTGTGAATGTAAAATACTTTGACATCTAACAAGAAAATATGTATAATTACAGGTCATGGGGCGGTCAATGGAAAGAAATATTTTTGGTAGTTCCGAAAAAATAAACAATTATTTGTAGAGCCTCTAACTCTCGCGGTTTTCGAGATAACGCTTCAATTTGAAACACCCTGTATAGGTCATTAAGCCTGTTGGTATGATACACTGCATTTGATACGTAAACACCATTTTTCTCAACATCCTTCTTAATCAAATAATTACTTTGTTTTAATTCAATAATAGCCGGAAACTAATGACGTACTACAATGAAAATTTGGCGCAAGTTTGTGACAACGAACCGTTTCCTAATAGTTGACCTATTTGTTATTGACCTAAACGCTGGAAATGAACAGGAAGCAAAATAATATTACTACACTATAGTGTGTCCGATATTTACGTGTCAAACTTATCATCTTGGCTATTACAAGGGATGGAAATCGCTTAAATGAAAGCACTCTCTGAATTCTGTCTCTTATAGATTTTGAGATTAATTTAATTTTTCTTATCAAATTTAAAAATATGGTACTAGATTTATGTATAAAAGAACCTGTATACATATTTGAAACAGCAAACTGTCATTAAAAATCTGTATTTTTCTATATCATAGCTATCCATGATACAACGACTAAGAGATACGATATGGCGCATCTCCGCTGCCATGTTATGACGTCATGTGGAGAGTAAGTGCCGATTTGTGGATATTGTCGGTGCCGGTCTGTCGGGAAGTGTCGGGCTTTCGTATTGTCTGCGTCTAAACTGGTGCAAATTTCATATTTACATTAATATGATTGTGTTTCTGATTGCAACCAAAGCAGATCTTTAAAAGAACATCATGTTTTCCATTTTCCAAATAATGAAAATATATTACAAATTGGGTTGAAGTTTGAGGACGTAAATATATTTATCACCAAAGATGGTTGGATTTGTTCAAGGCATTTTAAAATAGTTGACTATGTAATAGCCCCAGAACTTGCTAAACAAAAAAAATAAGGGCCACCAAATGATTTATAAAAAAATTTTGCCAAATAATATGTCAGAATTCATGAAAGATTCTAGAAAAGCTGCACACGAATTACGAAATAATACTGGGAATATAATTATATCATTTTTATTTATTAGGTGCATAAGGAAAACTAATAATGGACTTTATTAATGATACCACTTAAATTACCCTTCATGTGACATCATGCGCCAAGTAAACCAATTTTAGTTCACGGGAATATCATATACCTAATTAGCAGCTCACCAAAGGCGTGAGGATCAACATAAAATAAAGTGAACAATGATTATAAGATTTATGTCATTGTATCATTGTGAAACACTTAAATTGTTTTACGCATCGTTGCCATCGGTTGCACAATTTGGATAGAATGCATTATAGATCGCATCATCAGATATGTTTCTACTCTTGTTTCAGCGAAACTTATTCGCAGCGGTGATAAAATATATGTTTATGGTATGGTATTTGTTACTTTTTAATAAACAATGCGTACGCTTATCCCCGCGGCCCAGTTCTACAGCCCTAATCATATCTCATAGTCTTTGTATTATGATAGCTAATTAATATTCAGTTATAAGATAAAAAATTAATATAGGGGAACTTTTTTAATTTTTTGGCAACGGCGACGGGGGTACAAAAGTAATCGATAAAATAATGAATTTCTCACTATACCTACCTGAAAATCAAATAGAATATTAAATTTTATATATTTAACAGTTGAATGAATATGAAAAATACTCACATAAAAATAATTGTTTAATTCAATGCAGTAAAATTTAAACTAAACAAATAATATCTTCCCATATCCGCAATGCAAACATGTATTTGAACAAAGAATATTATTTCTTTAAAATATTTATTTCAATTAAGTAATAAACGCTTCACATGAAAAATATTTATGTATTGAAATAATTGACACAAATTTTTCATTGGTTTAGAGAATACATTTGTAATTTTATTTTAAAAATACTATAAAATTAATATAACACTACATTCGTTCTAACAAAACAAAATATATGTTTGAAAGAAAATTATTGTTTTTTAAATATAAATAAATGGTTTTATTTAATATGAGACTATAACTTCTGAATTAAAGAAAAATAGTTCTTTGGAATAAAAATTTGGAACTTTTTTAGAGAAGAGAGGGTAAGGTTAAAATAAAAGTATGAGTATGTTTGAATAGAATGTATTTTCTTCTTAAATAAAAGTATACACAAAACATTACAAATATAAGAAACAATTTTAAGGATTAATATTCTTTAGCTGTATATGTATAAAATAACATTCACAAAAATATAAATAATTTTTCCAAGGCGGTGTGCAAGTGCAGTATGGTAGGTTTAACTCTTCCTAAAGTTTTAATGTCTACCCCGTTACAAATTTTTCAGATCTTCTCAGAAGATGCAAATCATAATGTAAAGTAATTAATAAATAGCAATGAAAACAAATTGTATTGTTGTCTTCATGAATAATGATGTTTTCTATTATACCGAAAGAAGGAATATCCTCATAAATACCTAATAAAATTCAAGACTTGATTTTGTAAAAATTACCATAATTTTTAATCATGGCACGCAAAAACTTGATGAAATTTCTGAAATAGATGGAAAAATAATGTCTCCTTTTATTAAATTTTGAATTGGTCCATGTTCAAACGTGTCTATTAGTCCCTTTTGTGATAAAATTCTATAGGTAATTTAAGCTTCGTCCGCATACAAAGTGAAAAAGGTACATTTTTTCTACATCTAATATGGGTAGCTAAATATGTATTTTAAATCTTTATGCTTTGCTTCGTATCTTATGAAGCTAACATGTATTACAGGTCCAATTTTATTTATTATATTTGGGTAGTGAAGCAAATTTAGGGTTTAAATTTTCTTTAATTAGTTCTAAATACATTAGGTTCAATAAGACATTTTAAAAAATTTTTTAAAAATCAATGAATTCATCACTAAAGATAGGCAAACGTAACATTTCGGTTATTTCTAATAAAATTAAGTATATACCCTATTATCATCGAAAATGGAACAGTGTACAGTTTTACAAGTTAATTTATAAACATAACACCCTGTATACCTAACATGCATTCCAATGATCGTAAAGTTTTTTATTTCCTTTGTGATCTGATTTACAATAGTAACATGAAAATATATTAATAATGTTTGACAATGCATTCAATTACAGATATCAAATTCTAAGCGAGATATTTCGCATTACTTTTCGAGGACGCAATTGTTTTAAAAATGTGTATTAACACCTACACCAGAGCCAATGGAAACCGGCAGATTATCAGTGCTCGTAGTTCCCTTTTTAGAAGCAAATTAGTCTTAACAAGATAATAAAAGAAGCGAATTTGTTATAGTTAAAAATGTGAGACAGTCCTTGCGAAGTGCACGAGCGATTTTAAAAGGCCATCAGGCTTTGTTTGTTTGTTTCTTATGATGGCACTTCTTGCGGTTTCCAAAAAGTCGTCGTGATTTATTTACAGTCGAGGATGAAAGTAAGTGAAACATGTTTTATTATATAACCCAATAAGTCTTCCACGTTTAACAAGGAATTTGCATTAGACACTATAAAAAACAATTGCTTAATTCTAATAAATAATACATTTTTGCACTTCTAGGGAGAAAAGAACAAAAGTTTGGAATGCCCTGAAACGACAAAGAAAGGAAGGAAAACATACTTTATTCCGGTGTATAAAAATGGTCAAAATGTTTCAGACACAGAGGATATGGGGTAATGTAAATAAAAAGTATATATACGCTTTAAAAAATAATAGCAAATTGAAAATATTCCGTAAAAGAACTGCCTAAATGCTAGTTAAAGTTAATAAAATTGTTTCAGTGCTTATGGAAATCGTTTGTAAATTACTTGTTTAGCAAAATCATTCTGTTTCGAAACACACTGGTCTTCCTCAGCTAAAATATGTGGGTAGTCTTTTTGGAAAAGCTTTTAACCAATTTTGCACTGTTCGTTATTCTTTGGTCTCAACAAATACGAGACTCTGAGTGTACCAATACATAGGACCACTGATATTGCAAAATATTTTGCAGTTTGCAGTTTAAGGGAACCTGTGAAAACCTTACTAGATGTGGTACATACAAAGCTGGTTAAAATTTGCACCAAAAAGTTTTTCTGTAGAGGGAATTTTTACAGATTTATAGAAAAGTAGACTAGATGTATTACAAAGCAGAAAGACTATACTGAAAACCCCAGGAAACATTTGAGTAATATTATCCTGGTAGAAAGAAATCTGTATAGGTTCTGCTAGAAGGAAAGATGTTAGCTGGAGGCTATCAAGGAGCGACTGTTAAAGATGTGGAACCTAATTAGAAAGTTAAAGTAAGCTATGTAAGTCTACAACAATGATTTCAGAGGGAAAGGAAGCCCTATCTACTCCATATATTTACAGTCTACTTGTATTTGGACCCTTAAAGAATGTTTTAGGATGACAAATATTTAGAAAAGATGGCAAAGGTAAAATAGTGGTGGACTTTTCACTGAAGCTACAATAGAAAACCTTTCGTTCTGCTGATTGATTGCTTAGAAAAATTATAATTATATATCTAGTTAATTTACATATTTCGAAATATTAAATTTGCTATTATTTTTTAAAATACCATCGTAAACATATACAGGGTAGCCAAATGAAAACGAAACAGAGCCATTTTCAGGAACTGCGACAACATTGTAGAAAAACGCTCAGATCCGTCGATTTTAGATTAAAGGGGACATTCTTGCTGGTATTTTTGACTCCGCCACTTTCACCCCCAAGCAAGGGTAAGCATCACCCCAAAATATTTAAATGACATTGGGGGTTGAGTAATATTTCATTTGAAAGCTCTTACAATTCTCTTTACAACAGACTTTAAATTTTATAATTCCGCCCAATACTTATCAAGACTTTTGACTTTAAAGTTGAAACTTATGTACAAACAATTAATAACGGTAATTCGAGTTAAGTATGCCAATGGTAAAAATTTAGTATTTCTTGCGTTACATTGGTTTTTGGCGATTTGTTATCACTTTCGTAAAAAAAAAATTGTAAATAACAGAAATGAATGATATACACACAATGAACGTAAAATTAGTGGATTCCAAATTATTATTATTATTTGGAAGCGTTGGTTGGTAGTTTATTTAATTGTGTTTTTGAAAATTAAACACTATGGTTTATTCCATTGAGGAAAGGGTAGATATCATTTCGATTTACTTTATGAACAATAAATGTGCGAATAGAACAGCTCATCATTTAATGAACAACATCAAGATCGACATGTCAGGAGGAAGTATGTTATAGAGCAAGGGTCGGCAACTGGCGGACCGCGGAAGGTAAAATACTGGACCGCCAAAAATTTTTTGAAAGTATAAAGTACTCAAATAAATTATTTAAAAAATGTTTTTTACATTTAAGTGCCAATCTTATAATTTTTGCTAGTATTTTACAAATGTGTGAGTGTTTTGAGTTCTTAATGGTTAGTAAGTAGATTAAATTTGAGTCCAAATTAAATAAGAAATAAGAAATATGAATTTTTTTCTGGACCTCGTTTTAAAGAAGACTATATCCCATCCATACAAAATACATTTAGTCCAGGAACTTCATGAGTATGATTATGACTGTCGTTTGCAATTTTGCGAAATAATGAGTGAGCGAGCAGGGAACGATCCACAGTTTATTTTTACCATCCGTTTTTCTGATGAATGCAGTTATTGAACGGGACGGTAAATCGTCACAATTGCCGTTATTGGTCCATTAATTGTCCGTCAGTATTTGGACCAACGTTTTCTACGGAATTGGATTGGGAGAAGAGGCAGCATTGAGTGGCATCCACGATCACCGGATTTATCGCCCCTTGATTTCTTTTTGTGGAGATACCTAAAAAGTAAAATCTATAAAACACAGCCAGCGTCGCTGGAAGATTTGCGTCAAAGAATCGTCGACGAGTGCCGTCGAATCACTCCGGAAATGCTTCGGAATGTGCGCGAACGTTTCGAACAAAATCTTTATTCTTGTATGGAAGCGGGCGGTCATCAGTTAGAACATTTATGTCGGGTTTTTTCACATTCTGATAAATGTATCTTCCAGTTAAATCTATATCTGTCTCATAAAACACATATGCATAAAAAAGCGACAGACTTAGATTTAACTGACATAAATTTACCCGACAGTGAAGAAACCAGCCCTTAATCAACTAAGCAACTAAACATAATTTAAATTTTAAAATGTAATTTTTTTTTCAAAGGAATTGGGCGGAATTATAAAATTTAAAGTCTGTTGTATAGAGAATTGTAGGAGCTTTCAAAAGAAATATTACTCAACCCCCAATGCCATTTAAATTTTTTGGGGTTGAAAGTGGCGGAGTCAAAAATACCAGCAAAGAATGTCCCTCTTTAATCGACGGGACTTAGCGTTTTTCTACAATCTTGACGCAGTTCATGAAAATGGTTCTGTTTCGTTTTCATTTGCCACCCTGTATATGAAGATACCCAGAATGATTTATTTGGGGGCGATATCAAGCATGAAGGTTATAAAAATCGTCGAAACTAAAATCTCCATCTCACTCAGGAAAAATAATGTTTGAAATTGTTATATTTAAAATGACTATATAAAACTATTTATGATTTATGCGTTGCTCGCAGTAATTTACATCTGCAAAACCAGCTGAAGAGCAATAATATCGATGAAAAAAATAACTGTGATAAAATCCTACTTATTTATTACCCTTGTATTAAATGTCATATAATTTATTTGATTTTCAGAAAACCAACGTCATCTGTAAACAATTCCATACGTGCAGTATCGAAAAATGGAGAATGCAACATCTTCCCAACAAGAGTACCCAAGAAACAATTTATTCGCGACATTTTTACAACTCTCCTAGATCTGAAGTGGAGATGGACACTCACCGTCCTCACCTTGGGGTTCTTCGTGTCCTGGTTCCTCTTTGGAATAGCCTGGTGGTTGGTAGCCTTCTTCCACGGAGATCTAGAGGAAGCGCACCTGCCTATGAACCAAGCAGCTTCCAACTTCACTCCATGCGTTCTTGAAATATACGGCTTCATGTCGTGCTTCTTGTTTTCAGTAGAAACCCAACATACTACTGGATACGGCCAGAGAACCCCAACGGAGGAATGTTTTGAAGGCGTTCTCTTGATGTGCATCCAGAACATCGTCGGGCTCGTCATAGAAGCTTTCCTAGTTGGCATCTTCTTCGCAAAAATAACGAGACCCAAACTCAGAACGCAAACGTTAAGGTTCTCCAGATACGCAGTCATCTGTCAACGCGACGGCGTTCTCTGCTTGATGTTTAGAGTCGGAGACATGAGAAAAAAGAGCAGGATCATCGAAACAAAAATCAAAGCACAACTGATCCGACCCAGGAAGACTAAAGAGGGTGAGACCTTGAACAACTTCCAAACAAAACTCTTTGTAAGTGCCGACGAATGCGATGGAGACCTTTTCTTTATCTGGCCCATGTGCATAGTGCATAAAATCGACAAGAAATCTCCCTTGTACCATCTTTCAGCCCAAGATTTGCAGAAGGAGAAATTCGAGATTGTCGTGACGTTGGAAGGCACCATCGAGAGTACTGATCAGAAGACCCAGGCTAGGTCTAGTTATTTGTCCAGTGAGGTGTTTTGGGGTCACAGATTTGAACCAGTTGTGGTGCAGGACGAATATATGAGAGGGTACAAGATAGATTACGGGGTGTTTGATAAAATCGTGGCAGTCGACACTCCTCTTTGTGCTGCTGCTGAATTAGAAGGGTTAAGTGAAAAAATTCCAATGAAAAATATTATTACCACCAAACACACATTTTTTGCCTAAAAGAATGTACCACAGAAGTAGACTTTTATAAATTCTCATCATATTTTTTAAATTGAACCTTAAATTTGATCAAAATGAAATTATGAGAATGTCATGAAACAATGTACAAAGAAATATTGAAATAATATTTTTCATAAAAAAATTGCATCATATTTTATTTCATCGTAACGTTGCGACAAACTTTCACAGCAGATTCCTTTTATCAAAATATACAAAAAAAAAAAAACAGGAAGAACGAATACTCCTAAAACTATACCTCAGGAATCTACGACTCTTCAAAAATTAAACGTAAAATACAGTTTTTGGACAATTAATAAGAACTAATGAAAATATATAGACTTCAAACTTAGTACAATCAGTCCAATTCCTTAGTACTGGCTACCTACATGTAAGTACATATACAGCAACTTTATCAAAAAATAACCAATGGCGTCGAAATTAAAAGGAGTCTAAGGATTTCAAATGTCAAAAAAGAAGTTATTTGACATCGTAGAAAATCATTTAAAAACTTGGATAAATATTTTTAAGCGCGTCATAGATGAAACTCAAGATAACTCGAAATTGTGCTAAAATTCACATCTGTTTTAATATATGGTAGTCAGACAAATAAATTCAATTTTTCCGCAATTATGTACCCCAAATTCTTCAGAAATTGAAGCAAATTAAGAGAGTTGAGATTACGATTCTTTGCTGATGGAATGGTTCATCCAAGTCTGCAAAAAAAATCTCAATTAACATGTTTTAACAATCATAATCCCTCAGGATCCCTCAACTTTGACACCACTGATTAATTTTTGATCAAGTTTCACTAGGAAGCTACTATGAGGAAACTATACCAAGCTTGACGTCTATATCTTTAATGGTTCTGAAGTAATTGAACAAAAACAATGTTTCACGTCCATTCTTTGCAAGATTGTGAGAAGCTTTAAAAATTGTTTGCAGAAAAATCGTCACTAGTCTTTTTCTGTTACTTTGATACCCCCAAAGTTAGTCGCAACGTTTCTGTTACGTTCTGTCTTTAAACGAAAACGATAATTAATTTATTGTCTGTTTCAGATTGCATCCTCCAAATTGTGCAGTTCCTTCAAAAGTAAATAGATTTAGATGACGTCTCCGTATACCTACAATATGTTCACCACGAATACCAACCCGTAGTTAAAGCAATTCAGTTAGTAAGTTTTTTTTTTGTTAATCTGTACCAAATATGATCTCCAATGTCGATATATTCTCACATTTTTAGATTTTAGTGATATGTATACCTTTCTCAAAGAGATTTAAATTGTACAAAATATACTTTATTTACTAACAGCATAAAGGTATTCAATATAGTTATAAAAGGTCTGTCATTAGGAATAGATCACGGTCAAATACTCCTTGAGGAAAATCCGCTCCTTTTCACAAAGTCATATCACCAATCAAGTTAGAAATTTCAGTGAAATTTCAAAAATTGTGTGCTCATCGGTAGAGGACGCTAGTTACACATGTATCTACTTCTACTTATTGTCTTGTCTTGTATCTCCACAATAATTTTTCTAACATTAAAACAGTTAGTGCGGTCCGACAGAGACGTCCAGTGAAAATTAAAGTGATCATATTTTGATAATGCAACTTGAAACTCGACTTTTTTTTAGGGGATGAATTCTAAACCCTCATAGGAAACTTTGGAGACGAACAAGTGTCAAACTTTTCAAACAGATTTTTTTAAACTTCGAAACCTTCTATGCTGAAAAGAAGCGCATCTCTTTGTCTCAATCCTCCTATTTTGACCTCACATCAAGCTTGCTTCTTTCTTCAGTGAAACAATATGAATTAAATACCAAAATAAACGGAACATACTGGAATGTTAATAATATTTTTATTATAATCTCTCAATAACAAAAAACAGTTAATATATAATTCCATATAAACATATAAATATCATCCGTTCTCAACAATTTCTCCTAAGTACAGTCGAGATGAACTAGTAGCTTGCGTTACTCCCCCTCATGGAAATGCTCATCCTCCTATCCACCCTAGCACTGGAGTAGTAATTAGGGTCATTATTGTTTGACTTAGGGGGGGGATATCTCCACCTCCAAGGCCTGTGGGGAATGTGACCCTCCGTAGAAGCTCTTTCTCGGAAAGGTACAGCGTCGCAAGGACTGGAAGCGGCGCTTTCTTTGCTCTCCGATTCCTCCTCTTCTTCTTCTTCCAGCTCCACCTCGGTCCAACGTTTACCTAAAAAATATTACGATGAATCTTCAGTCGTTAGTGTCGGCATAAATTGATTATAAGTTTATTTCCGGAGGACCGAATTCTGTATAATTGAATTGAAGTTTTCACAATCCTAAACTGAAAAAATTTTATATCCGTCTAACACACAAGGTAGTAAAAAACAAGCTTCAGTGATAGTTGTAGAACAGTTTCTGGGCTAGTTGCCCCGTGTTGCTTTTAGACATCTCGACATTGTGAGAGACACATGGCCCAGATTACAAAAATATCAAGAATACTACAATTAAGAAAGTTGAGACTTGAGCGCTAACATTCGCAGGAATTTACGTAGGTATCTTATTTGAAGTGATTCAAGAAAACATCAAATTTATTGACTTCCAAAAGTCCACAAGCCGAGCATAACACTCCAACAAATGGTGAGAGTAACTGGATCAGCCACCCATCCACTTGTTCAGAACGTGTCGAATGCAAATTAAAGATCTAATGGAAAAGACTAATGTCAAGAACGCTGGAGATTTTATCAACAAAATCATGGGAATTCAACTAGTTCCAAATGATGACGTGATTGTTCAATTAAAGAAGTTCTGGCGGAAGAATTTAGTAGACAACGCGCAGGAGATGGATCTTTTTCTCCTTTGGAAACCTGTTTTATGAATAAACTGTAAGATCAGCTATGAGTTCACTCTTGTCTTCTGTTCTGGTAAGTAGATAATTTGAAAAGATGGCCCTGGAGTCAGCAACTTTAAAGCCGAAGTGTTAGTGTTAGTTCAGATATGTTAAATATACATCTATTCTATTCTATCCCCGTTGATATAAACATCTGAACCACATTAATAGAACATTTGCTTCGCCATAAAGATGAAAGCAAATGATACAATATCATTTCTAGAAATCTTCGTGAAGATAATGACATCCTGACAATGTTTAGAGCGAACTAACCAATAGATCAAGCTTCTCAGTCCCACCATTACTCTGTCTAGAAAGGAAGGATCTACGATCTGCTCTATAAGGCAATGTGTATTCAGGCAAGATTATTGAACGAACCATCAGAATTGTAATTCAGCACAAGAAAATAAAGCAATACGTAGCGACAACTTATGTACTTTGCTTACAAACGATGTATTGACAAAATAGATCACATCTTAAGAAAACACAAACGTAGGGACAACCTTTCCCAAGACGAGCTTCGGTACGATCTGCTTTAAAGTCCTTTTGGGAAAAAGGGAAGAAATGTTAGCACGAGGTTTGAGGAATATAAATGTCACTTAAAGAATAACAATGTGGTGGTGTTAGCTTATCCAATAAGACCAATACACTAGTTTTAGTGCATAAATTTGCTTTAATTTTATCAAAATTTATAAAAATTTACATTAATTTTTGTACCTACACTATCCACATTTTAATGATACAAACACGTAATATCCCAAATTCAAAATGAAATTCTAAATTTGAAACTTTGGGAGAGAGAGAGAAATATATATCGATTCAATTAGAGCTTATATTAGATTGATTCATACTTTAAACATGCGTATATAATGTATTGGAAAACTTAACTATACTTGACAAGATTCACATTCTAAATTGTCTGAATTTTACCTATTATTGGCTTATACGGATAGAGGCTATTTGGCGAAACTACCGCTGAACATAACGATCCAACTGTGTCCGGTGACGTCCGTTCCTTTTCACTGGCCGACCGTCTCATCTTGACAGGATTTTTGCTGTGAACTCGCCAAAACCTGCAGACGTCTCGAAAAACATTGAACACCTAAAAAATACATACAATAATCAAATCGTTGCAACTGTAAAATGAAGCCACTGTAAAATAGTGCTTAGTTTGTTGTTTGTTTAAGGGTCACTTAAGTCATTTATTTTTGTAGATTATTACTTTTCAATGTTTTCGCATAAGGACAGTGTGCTTTTCGTGTGTTACTTATTAATATAAGTGAGAATAAATATACTAAAATGGCCAACCAATCCATACAATAAAAATGAATTAATGGACATTGTGGTAACGTATGGAGAGGCAGGGATATCGGTGGATTCAGCGATTCCCAACAAGTTTTCATCATATCAGTGTGGTGTAAGTCAGTTTTTTCTAGCAATTCGATTTATTTGCCCTTGAAATATGTTCTCCAAATTTGTAAACATATTGTATAATTATACTTATGTACATATGGAAAACCAAACATCTGCATCTAAAGCACAACCTAAACAGCTCATACACAGTTACAACATACTCTCGCAATAATTCCGCGCAAACAGTTTTGCAACTAAATACGAATAGAATTTGAATAATATCTTGAAGAACATTATGTTAAGGATAATCACTTCATTCAGCAAAATCAGTCATTCCTTTCGTCAATTATATTGGCCCAAAAAACTAAAGAACTAAGTTAGAATGCAGATATATATGAAGGCACTAAATTAGTTACTAAAACATACGGAAATAATTAGATCGAATACCGGAAATTGCCCAATAATAAAGCAAACTCATCTCCTCTCCAAACGACGTCGTTCACCACATAATATATAATCTACCATTCCACCAGCAAGCAAATTAATTATTTGATATATTAATTACCTCACCAGTCAATATATAATGTCTCAATTTATAATAATAGTAAGGCCATGATGATCCCTTGTAAAATTAATTACATATTATGTTAACAAAATCGCCATACCAGGCACTATTTAATTAACAGATTAAATCAGACTGAATCCTCATTTTGGATGTGATTCATTTCATGATATCCATACAAATGTGTATAGGTTGCAACAGCAAGGTGGTGACAAAGAAGATGTGATTCAATAACTTAAAAAAAAACAGAAATGAGATTTTGTCTTAATTATATTATAAAGGGCTTTACAATTCATCAAAAATGGGATGTAAAACACGGTTTTTCATACACTGTTGATCGACTAGATCATTCATTTAGTGAAATTTAGTGGGACATTTTTTTTACTGAAAGAAATGAACAAAAAATGCAAATTTATTAACGCATGCTAAAACTAAGTTACCATTGATACAACTTGACTCTTAACCTGACTAATAGACCTACAGAACAAATCTATATTTAGTAAAAATACTCTGTCAATTTTCTGATATGAAATAATTGCCTGCATAAAGGTAGAATACTGAAAACATTACCAAATATTATACAGTGTGTCCCAGAAGTAACGCAAAAAATTCGTATTTTATTTTGTGTTGCGTTTTCACAAAAACGCTAAAACACGTCAATTAGTAAATATGAATTGTCATTTTGTCACGTTGCTTAAACCTTTTTTGCGCTATGTTTCATAAACCTATGACGTCATCGACATTTTTTTTAAATAGCACTACCTAATTTTTTAAGCATAAATGGATAGTCCTTTTGAGGGGATATACGTTCATATAGGGTTTGGCCTACTTTACTTTGACAGGAGCGAAAATAAAGCCAATGACTGGAATGGACATGGTTTAAAATAACAACAAAAGTTGGTATCATAAACTGATGCGAGAACAGTGCCACAGCAAAAAAATGGAAATTTGTGGATGTTTTGTGTTTTGGTTGATTGTAAGTACGTTTTTATGTATTTTATGTTGGCGTTTTCGACGATACGACGAACGGCAGTATGTGGATTTTCAGTGACAGCTAAACATAACATTTTGCATATCATTTTCTATCACTGTCGTTGACCTTCCAGATCTAGACAGATCTCTAACATGGCCAGCGTCTTCAAATTTGCGTACTAATCTGCGTACTGGAGACGGAGGTATTGGTTGTTTTGGACACTTGGCATTGAATAATTGACATACTTCATCATAACTACGGATCCTATCTCCATATCCAACCATAATTACGATTTCAGTTCTTTGTTTCTCATTTAAACACAACACCATAGTAATGTAAAGTTATGGTATTTGTAACTGTCACAATGATATGAGGCACTATTGCATTCGCTAACTCTCGTCTTCAGAACAATGCCTACATAGCCACTGTGATCGTGTGTACCTACCCGATCTACATAAAAACATGTACCTACAATCAACCAAAACACATTTTTTGCTATAGCACTGTTCGCGCATAAGTTGGTGATACCTACTTTTGTTATTAATTCAAACCATGTTCATTCCAATCGTTGGCTTTTTTTTCGCACCTATCAAAGTAAAGTAGGCCAAACCCTATATATATATATATAGAAAAGATATTCGTGGCTTTTGTATATATAATTAAAATCTTCTTATTAGTGGGATTAAAGCCTATTTTTTAGATGAAACTCTTTTTTCTACGTAAAAGCTTTCGCAATATTTTATTGCTTCTTCAGTTACACTATAAGTTATAGATATAATAATAATAATTTACAATATAAATGTGGATTACTTACAAGAAACTGAGTTATTGATATTTATATACATATTGACAGATTTTGGACATTTACATCAAATGACATTCATAAATTTAGGAAAACAAAAACAAAAATTATTTTATATTTATATAGAATTAATATTAGTGTTAGTATTACTAGTGCTATGATTTAGATTTTTATCTATAGAAAGTATGTTGGAAAATATAATGTTAATATCTTTTGTATCTGTTTTTTTATTTAGAGTATTTTCTTCCTGGTTAATATAAAACATTTCTAAAGAACATCTTTTAGAATAATCCTTTTCTGTTGTTAAAATTTTAAAATTTTCAAAATCCATTTTATGTCCTGTAGAA